AGGAATTTGAGTTGATTACTCTTTGCAATGAATACAATTGGATTGATTGCTCATCACAAAATCAGGAAAATAGTAAGTTATGTTTCTGTTTTTTACGTATTGTCAGTCCCCAAGTTTTGTGAATAAAACTCCCAAAGTGAAAACTAATGAACATTATTTGTATTTTTTTTTTAGCTCATATTGCTTTCTGTGGAGATCTGTTTGATTTGTCATTTGATCTGCCATTTAGTGATTTCCTTCCTCCTACTGTGTCCCTCAGATTTTGGATGCAGGTTTGTATTCTTGAAGTGCTAATTTCAGTATTCCACATTACATATTTATGCTCAAGCTTCTGTGATCAAATATGTGCCAGTAGACTCTGATGAAAGTAATGATAGAATAAATTATAATAGTTTACAAGAAGCAAAAAGTGAATTACATGTGGTTTTGTTTCTCTTTGGGGAGGCATAGAAAACAAATTATTTTTAATACTATCTTAATTTATTTATATGCACCATATAAGAAAAATGGGTACTGTATTATTAACATTATTTTACCGAAACACAAAAGTTATGTAAGGATAACTTGTGCTTACTTTTACAAACTATTTGAAATTATTGTTCATTTATGTTTATGCTATAGGGTGAAAGTGTTGATCTAGCGCTGTATCTGCCAGACACTAGTACCAGTCGATGTGTCTTGCTAGGTTTAGATGCCCATGCAAAAGTTTTGGGTCGTGATGGAAATATCTTGCAGCGCAAAGAACCAGTGCGTAAATGGCGTAATCATTGTCAGAAAAGGTTAGAATTTGTTTATATTTCATTCTTTTGAATCACAATGTTTTGTGGTATAATTGAGTATTAATGGTCGTGAAACCGAAGAGTTTTGCGGATGGAGTCAATATTTATTTGCCTGTCCGGAAGATGTTGTGGCCTAAGCACAGATTGCAAGATTTCATTCAACTATAAAGAAGGCAGAATGTGAGCTGATACTTTGACATCTATGTCTAGAATGCAGCATCTCCAAGACAGCCAAGTAGATAGTGTTAATGGACATTATAATTTTCTCTGGAATGCTGTTTAAGCCTTGAGACCAGAAAAAATTTCAAACATGAATATGATAGACTTTATTTAAATATATATGGTTTCATGTGAATAATTCAATTGTTAAATTAAATAGGTACATATTGGTGTTATATATAAATTGGTGTTTTCTAAAGTTTTAGATTATTTAAAATTCTTCAGTAGTGATCATTATGGATTGTCATTGCCTTTCTATGCGCAGTAATGGATGGGTGGATTGTTGGGCTGTGCCTATTGTAGCACTGTGTATTAATTACACATATCACCCTGCTCCACCTCTTGGACCACCTCCACAAGCTGATATTACAACACCAGAGAAAGAGGAGATTTTGTTGTCTCCTATGCGAATACCACGATGCCGGAAATCCCCTGGTCTTCAGTGGTCCCAGGTGAGTTTCATTTGTCATTTCAGTTTGCTTGTGATCTTGAATATGTTTACAGTAAGTTTTATGAATTGTTGTTACATTCTGTGTATGCAATTACTTTTTAATTTTTTTGAATCTGGAAATGAGGTATTTTAAGATTTTTGTTTTAAGTTTCTTGTTGTTTCAGTTTTTGTAAAAGAACCTAAAATTGTTATTAGTGTTGTTGTCGTTTGAACCTAGGAATAAAAGGTAGTCAAGGATATGTAGTTGATTTGGTTGCATAGGCTTCCACGGCCGGAGTTTGTGTTATCAAGGCTATCCGCGATCAGCCATGTCACTGGCATGGTGGCTAACGTTTTGGCCAGCGTATTGTGGCGTTCTTCAGAGCATACTGCAGTATGGACAAGCAGGAAAGGTGTTTAACATGGAAGAATGTTTGATAGGTAGCTATGTTGGAGGTGCTGGAGAGAGATGGGAATGGGTGGGCTGATTTTAAGCAGGAGGATGTCGTGGTCAATGGTGTCAAAGGCGGTGGTGAAGTCGACAAGTAGTGCAGGTTCTGGTTGTAAATTGTGTAGTCGGGTTCATATGTCACTGGCGAATTGTAGCACCTAAAGTGCTGATGATCGGTCCTCCTGAAAACCCTATTGAGTCGGTTGTAAATGATTGTCAATGATAGTATTCTGTCGATGAAGGATGATTTTGTCACAAACTTTGCTGACAACGGAGATGAGGCTGATTGGTCAGTAATAATTTGGGTCTCTATTGCTTTTATGGGACTTTTATATCGTCTAGTATTTTATCATTTCTATCACGTATTTCCATATGTAAGGGTAGTACTGTAGTCAGATGCAGTTGTTAAATATGAGGGTTAGGTGTCGTATGGTGTAATGCAGTCGCTTTCTCTCCATTAGGTCCAGTCACTTTCATCTCATCCAGTGCATGAAGCTTGTCTTTTATTTCTTCATCTGTTATAATCTATGGGTCTTAAAGTGTGTAGTGAAGGTTGTGTGATTTCAGGAAATGAAGGATTAGGTGATCAGGTAATTAGGTGCCCTGAGATGAGAATCTATTTTGTAAAATGTTGGCAAACGTTTCGGATATAGTCTGGGGATCGTGAGTCATATTGCTGTTCAGAAGGTAGATGAGTGAGATTATTTTTGTGTTTGTCTTGTCTGTCAGTTTCCAAAGTTTCTGGGGATGCTTGGTCGTGACATACTGTAGTCTCTTGTCCAGTTTCTGTCTTTCATATCTGCCAAGTTATTCTTGTATTTGTTTACATAGTTGTAAAAACAGAGTTCTGTCTTGTTGTCTTTGAGTCCTGTAAAACTGTTTTGAAGGTTTGTCATTTGTGGTGAATTAGGAAAAGGATATGAGAGAGGAATTGGATTTCGGATACAGTAATTGAGGTAGTGGATTTGTATAGAGATTTGTTGATATGGAGATTGAAATGTTCTATGGACTTATCTATAAAGGATGTGAATTCTAGGGCAGGTGGGGATTTAATTTTTTTTGGATTCAAGGTTTGTAATGTTTTCAGTCTATGGTGATTTCATGGGATACAGGTATAGGGTTATAGGAGAAGGCATTGGTGGTGACAGGAAGGTCCGTCCAGCATTGTTAGTCTGTTTGCATCCCCAGGATGTGTTTTTTAAATTTAAGTCTCTGGCTTATTTTTGTCTGCCTGTAGAGCATGAAGGTCAGAGTGGAGTAAAGAAGTGCTTGGGGGCTTATAGGAAGAGATAATTGTTATGAGGCCATGGGGGGTTGACAGTTCGATGCAGGTGTTTTCTATGTGGGAGTGGGAGAGAGTTGGGTATGTGGGGGATGTTTTTGTGAATGCAGGTTCCTCCTTCCAGGTGGGTCTGTCTGTCCAGTTGGCGAGGAAATCAGGAATAGAAAAGGTTTGTGAAGATGTCAGTCTTGTCTCTTGTCAGTAATATCCTTAAGGAGTAGTCTTTGATGTATTCTGTCTGATGGCCATCTTTTTCTGGGATAGTCCTCCTTTGGTGTTCCACATTGTCATATTAGTCAGTCTTCGTTGAATTGCCATAGTTAGAATATGTCACACATTTTTGTCAGAACGGTCATGGTTTTCATCATTGCGTCAGCAGCTCCTTTGATGATGATGATGATAAGATCATTGAAGGTGTTGGTGATTTTTTGGATGTTGCATCCTTTTAGCATGGTAAACAGTTCTTTTAATTGAGGGAGTCGACGATGATTGTGGTGATCGATTTGTCGATTTATTTATGATATCAGCATATGAAGTGTTGAAGTTGTTCTGGGATTGTTGGAGTGTGTTTCTGGAAAGTCGAGGGAATGCAGTTGTTGAGTGTGGGTCTGGTGCAGTCTGTTGCTTTGTCGGCTTTTTGTTTTGTCAGCTGTTGTAGTCTTTCTTGTCATGCTTTCAGGATGGCAGAGCAGGTGGGCCAGTATTCTGGATGATCTAAGCAGTATTTTATAGAAGTACGATTGCAGGAATTGGTGGGGGTCATGGAGGGAACGTTTGGCACAGACTGTTAGTCAGTGTCCATCCTAGGGATACTAAATAAATGCTCGACTGTGAGTCGAGTGTGATCAGTAAATTAAAATTGTTTTGTATTAAAAATGTTTTAGTTAAATGTGTCATTACAGATTATGTAGAATGACACAGACTTAACTCAGCTCGTGCTGCGATACAATTTTATTAGTTTTAATGATTTTTTGAAAATACTTTTACTTTCTCGTTTTGGGTTAGAGAGAGAGAGAGAGTGATATAAAGCTGCGCGAAAAAAAAAGCGAATTTTGAATGCTGAAAAAAACTCTTAATACAGGACTCTGGTAATAACAGAGTGGAAATCCAGTTTCTAAATGCAGAAAAAAGACTCCAGCACATGGTGATGCCAGAATCCTTGTTTTGTGTTTCCTTGTTACCGAAAGTTTGAATGACGACAAAAGTCTGTCCGTCCATGTTTGTGAATAATGCTTTGTGACTACACCATTGAGCCAATTTTCTCCAAAATGTATATTTCTCAATCAGTGTGGCCGATGTTGCGTCCCCTAGGAAACCGATATTTTGAAGCCCTTGAGACATTTTCGAAATTTTCCAAAAAAAGCACCATTGGTTTTGATGAAAAAAATTGTTAGATAATGTGAAAGTCGTTTTAAGACAATGGTAATGTTTCATGTTTGTGGAAAACTGCAATAGTTCAAAGTTTTTCGGAGACTTCCTACAACTAAAGTATTGAAGCTAGAGATCTTTCCCAAATATGTTCCTTAAAGTTACATTTTCAAATAAGGTCTAGTACAAATTTTTGAAAATTTTATGTACTTTTCACGAAATTTTGCGTGAAAATACAGGCAAGAAAGTATGTGTTGTTTTACCACCACTAGTTACTTGAAAATTTCATGAGAAGTGTCTTATTTTCACTTACCAACTTGTATTTAGAATGAAGAATGTTTCTCTGAGAAGAAATTTGAATAAAATGTTGCTGAATTATGTGAACCTATCACCTAGAACAGTGTTTCTCAATCTGTTTTGGCCTACAGCTCCCTGAATATCTAAGAAATATTGACAGCATCATAGATGTAAAGTAAATTACAACACATGGCCTAAAGCCATTTAAAATAAGGCTTAAAAAAGTGGCAAAAATACTGCATAACAAAACCACATAAAATGATTTTCTAAAAACTATGATACATACTACTCAAGAACAAGAAATAAAATACTTTCATATAAAACTCTGTAATAAATTAAATAGAGCAAAACCCTGTTGTAAGAGACCTCATTATAAGAGAATCCCTCTTATAGGAGACAAAATCCCTCCTATAGGAGAAAATATCCACAGTCCCTATGTTAGTTGTGTATACTCAATACATTTATGTCCTGCATTTAAGAGACCTTATTACAGAAGATTCCCACCTATTGTGGACAAGATTGTATTCCCTTCCATGTATTTGTTCTTGCTTGTAAGAGACAAAGCGTTGATTTTTCCTGCAGGTCGCTCAGGAATTTTGTCAGCATGGTAAGGGTTGGGGCACATGCTTTATTAAGCACTGAGTAGGATTTTGCAACAGACTGAAGGAGTTCGCAACACCAGTTCCAGAAGGAGGGATGTTCTCTTGAGGAAAACTCTTCCTGTAAGCTTCATGTCTCTTGGCAACAAGGGTCCTACATGCTCCAAATTGTTTTTAGAGGAGCTGTGGTGCTGTTTTCTGCCAGGTATATGTAGGATTTTATTTCACTTCAGTGCTTTCAATCAGTTTCCTCAGTATATGGACAATCTTGGCTGTACAGACATTTTACTACATGTGTGAATTTGAACACTCAGTTTTAGTTTTGTTTTTTGCCTTCTATGAATCTGCGAGTGATGACATCGAAATGAAAGGTTTTGTCGTTGCTTGAGAAGTTGAACATAATTAAAGAAGTTGACAGGTGTAAAGAGCAACCACAGAGAGCTGTGGCGGAAACATGCAACAAAGCTGCAGATACCAGTTTTGTTGCTCAGAATAATTTATCCATAAAAGATAGGAAATCCTCAATGCTGTCATGAAGATGGGTACTGTGAAGAAAATTTATTTGTCACTATTCAAGGAAATGGGAAAGACTCTTTTGGAGTGGTTTGAACAGTACAGAGCTGTAGATGCCTCTGTTGATGTGAACATTTTGCATGAGAAGGCAGGAGTTAAATATTGATAGAATAATAACTGGTATACAGAAATATAACAAGTATTATCTCGTTTAAGGAGCAAAATGGAAACAGGAAAATCAATATTGACAATAATAGATTGTGAGTGAATAGAAAATGGGTCTTATAATGGGTATTAGGGGAAAAAATAAGAAGAGATGAAACCCAGTGGAACATGGAAACAAGGAGTGAAAGAGGCCAAGATAGAAGAGGCAAATTCAAGATCCATTTGTATTCGTTAAAATTTTCATAAAAGTAAATGATAAAGTGACTATTCAGCATTAAATTGTCAACAAATACTCATCTTTAATTCTGCATTCATGCTTATTCATTACGTTGGATAAAATTGTGGAGAAAGAAGAGAGTATTTCATCAAAACATTGTGGACCCCAAGGTGAGCCTCTTTCAGAAGCTGAAAGATTCCCTAAAAAGATAGGTCACTTTGGGGTACTTGGCTAATTAAGTTATAACCTTAGAATCTTATTTTATGTATGTAAGAAGTGAGAGAACATTCTGAGTGCAGGGAGAGAGAAAAAGGAAGGAAGAATGAGGGAATGTGAACTAGTGTGATCAGCAGTTTATCATCCCCACTCAGTTGCCAATACTACTGCTACTGCTGTTTAATTCCATCCTTCATCTTACAAAGTCTCTTAGTTTGTCTCAGAAGGTACATGGCATGTGTTGTGTTCTGGGATGCTAGAAGTAAAGAGAGCTCAGCTAGTCTTTGGCTTTCATTTTAGAATCAAAACTGGTAGGACATGGATAAGTGGGAAACTTTTATTAATGAAACTAATTATGAAAAAACTTCTGTTAGCGAGAATATAAATCCTATTTAACTGCTTTTCCTTCTAGATTTTCATCATGTTTTGCCAACCGAGAACTTATCATTCTTGTGTTTTTCTTGTAGCAAAATCAGCTCTTTTATTTAAATTTTTACGTATGTTTATATGGAGTAATAAAATCTAATACAAAAATGTTGTTTATAAATAAAATATTCTCATAAAAGTATAGCAGTTTTGTTTAATATCCACTTTTGTAACTTTGGTGGAAGGGAAAGTGCGACAGAGCAACTGTTGGCGGAATTTGTTGAAAGAGTAATGGTTGGGGAAAAAGTGTTGAAGGGAGATGTTGAGGAGAAAGCATCATCATCTTGTTGGAGTAGGATTGTTATCTTGGTATATCTGAATGGTGGTAAAGTATTCTGATTGAAATTGCTGTGTATAAGTAGTGGCTCTTAATGACTAGAAGAACAAAAAAAATCTGAAACAGCCTACCTTTCTAGATGTCACCAAAACTAACTTAATCCATGTTCTGTTTTGGCACCTTTATATCATACTAAAGTGTGTCAGAAATGAGTCTAATATTTGATATATTCTAATTAATATTGTAACTTCTATTGAATGTTGTATTTTTTTGGTTTTATTTATTCAATAAATATATAAAAAAACAGTGTTGTGATACCTCTAAAAAGGTATGCTGTGGCACAGTTTGTGAACCAGTGACCTATGACACAATACTTGAAAATTATTCCTCTAAATGCTGTCTAGTAGCGAGAAAGAATAGAGGTTACCTTTAAGTTAGCTTTAAACATGCATGCAAAAAACTGTTAACTTTAAAGTATGATAAATGATCAATAAGTTAATTTGAAGAGTAAAAGTCTTAAAAGTTTCCGATTGTGTGATAAAAATCTATACCTCATCTAGGGAGTTATTTATTAAGTAGTGTAGTAGTTGATTCTTTGTTGAAAGATAGTTTTTGCAGCAATGTATAACTTATTTTGTGCAGGAGGGAGGTCAACGGTTTGATCCCACCACATTAGCTCCAGATGAAGTAAGTTTGGAGCTTGAGATTGGTCCTTCTGTTTTGTTTTTATATGGCTCATGGTTGCGTAATTTCATGCATTTAAAGGTATGTTGCTTTGAATTTGCTTTCACCAAATTTATTCAGTATCATTATCTACAAATTGAGTATGAAGCTGACTTATTTTTCTTGTAACAAAATATCTACAATTTGTTTTGTTTCATTAACTCTGTAGGAAAACATTTTTGGAGAAGATCAAATGTTTACTGATATGCATCAAAGCCGCCCCACTAACCAGTCAACGTCTGGCACTGGAGATGCTCCTGTTGCTGGCAGTACGTCTGATCCATCAGGAACTGTTGATGATTCTGATAGCAAACCTCGTGAATTTGACCCACGGCAGTACAGACCCATTGAAGTGCGAGTTTCTATTACCATGCACGATATTCAAGGGCATCTTATGAAGGTGAGAAAATAGAAAAAGAGGACATTTTCAAGAAAAAAGTGTATTTAGTGAAATGTTGTCATTTTTAGGAATACGAGAGACTCAATGTTTTATGTTCTTGGAGTAAGAATTACTATTTGCACTGATTAGTGTAAATAAAATTCCCTGTTTGGAGAAAGTAATCCACACGTTTTCACTCTGATAGACAATATATAATTTTAATTATTTGTAATGAAACATTGATCATTTTAAAATTAACATTTTCTTTGCTGATAGTTATTATTAATAGCGTTGTTGGTTGTTTTCAGAGTTGTGGGCCTGGTGATCCCCCGTGTCCCAGTATTCTTTTGGAGCGATTTGGATTTGAAATGAAAAAAGGTTATCGTGAGACTCAGCTTCAACTTTTATTGTCTCCTGCTGTGTTGTTGACAAGTGACTGTGTCCCGAGACCAGGTCGTGATCGCCACCTGGCACAAGGACATCTAATGTTGTCTGGGTTGCAAGTTCGGGGTCATGCAATGTTCAGTGATGAAGGTCGAAGTCTTGATCAAGATACACTAGAATATGCTTGGTTACTTGAAGTGCAACTTGGCAAACTCTCAGGAAAACTTACTGCACCCCAGGTTTGTGTAGTCAATGCGTTTGATTATAATATCTTGTTATTTTAGTAAAAATGATAATTATTAGAAATTTCCAAGTAAATGATGTGAAATTCAATGTGATTTCCAGCTTCATCACTTAGTAACTTCTTTGGAAACATTACTACTTTTATGTAAAGACTCTGAAAATGGCTTACGAGCACCAAGATTACCTCGAATGTGCCACCATGGTGTACCACCAGCTCAGTGTTCAGAATCTGATCCAGACAATCGCTACCATTGTCCTACTGGAGATGAAATCAAATATAGGATGACCCGTGCTGCCATTGATTGTATTGATCTGTACCTACTAGAAAATGGGACAGCAATTCAGTTGTGGGTAAGTAGTGTTTTCCTTTTCATATAAATTGTTTGTTCTTCAAATTGTGCTAAATTGCTTTTGCACAATTTAAGAACAAGATTATAAAACACCTCTGTGAAGAAAAGTTCACAAAATCTTTTCTAGAGATAAAGCTTTGGTTTTATTTATATCCTTATTTTTTCTGGGCTCTTGACATGACTTTAGCTTTAACTTTCTTTTAGGCATCTCCAATAAGAATTTCAACTTGCAATCTACATGGACAGCGAGTAAAGTCAGGAGTGACAGCTGTGTTGCCTGCTGTGAGGATACGCCAGTTAGTTGCCTCTGGAGCAGGGTTTGGTGCCAACCACAGCAGTTCCAACACAACAGGCAGTGGACGTTCCCAACATAGTGCTCACTAGTATGTAATATGTATTGCAGTGGTATGTATGTATTGCAAATGCTCTTTGTTTGCTTTTTGTGTGATAGTAATTATGACTTGTCTATTAAACTAAGTATTTTTAAATAAAATTAACACCTTTTAAATTAAGTATTTTTTGAAGATGACAAGATTGTGGGGAGTCTTTGAAAAATTCATCAATGAGGCAGTCTCTTAAAGAAATTAACTTAAATTAAAATTTAATAATAATTTTGAGAAATTAATGAAGATTTTCTTAAGTCAAGTTATAATGCTTTCCTAGAAACAAAATGTTGATACACTTGAGATTTATTACTTTTGGTTACAACAAAGAATCTTAAATTGCCATTTATTTATTACAAAGTTGTATGTATACAATGTATATGGAATGTTAATGTTCAGTTGACAATTATCTGCTTAAAAATTTTTATATTTTAATAGTATTTTAATCATTTGCATTTTGTAGTGTCTCTGAGCTCTGGCTAGAAGTAGGGAGTGCTTCTCTTGGTCCTGTGCTCCTGGAGGCTGCTCTGTCCCTCCCTTCTCTGCCCACTTCGGTACGCAGTACTCACCTAGTTCAGCATCAGTATTTAAAGGTCCATGATGCAATCACTCATCGTCTATGGTTTCTTTGGGCTGGGACTGACTCCAAGCCATCTGGCCGCTGTGGCTGTGTAGGAGGTTGTGCATTCTTTGGATCAAATCGCAATGGCCCTCGTTTCTTCAGGCCTTCTGCCCAGGATTTGCAGGATGGAGTAAATGTTGCTGCCTTCAGGTAGGTAGATTGACAATATTAAATAAAAATATTTTCTGATACTTTTTCTTGTTTAAAGATTCTATTCACCATCCGAATTTTAGGTAGTTGTGATTTACTCAACAGACTACTTAAAAAATTTAAATGTGGTGTATTTTGGGTAATTTTTCAGGGTGCATGAGGCTGGTAGAGATCCAGGATTTGGCCAGAGTATTCTTCTTGAGGGTCAATTAGTTTTTCATACACCTCCTTATGACTCTCAGGATGTTTCATTGCAAGAACCAGCTGCACCTGCAACAGCTCCATCAAATCTTAAGGTGAGAGTTATATAATTTAGATCATTATTTTTATTTGTAAAATAAAGATGTTAAAAATGTTGTATTGAATAAAAGTATTAATTTTTGTAATATATTTATTTTTGTTGTCTGAATATTGTAAAATATATTCATATTAATATTTTTTAATGGTGTGTCAAGAACTGCTTTTGGAACCTTTCATAAGTGATGCTGAAATTCTAATGAATGATGGTTAAACATCTGGTAGAAAGATTTGTTGTGAACTATGTTAATATATAGTTTTGAAGTAGCTACTGATTTATTCCCTGTGGTTTGTTATAAAATTCTCTTGCCTGACATTGGTGTATTGTTTTGCAAGGTTCCAGCACCCGATCGCCTCTCAGGAGAGAGCCCTGGGTCAGGCAGAGAGCGAGGTAGCTCAGCTGAGGGGAATGGTAGCTCTCGCCTCAGCACGGCTTCACCAAGCCCAGCTGGGGGACATGGTGAACGAAGAGGCCTAGGAAGGCGCTTCTCATACACAGCAGCTGGTGGTGCTAAGTATGTTCAATCCTTTCTCTTTTCTATTTTTTATGTATTTCTGTGAAGAAAGTTGCACATGTTTTTTAGTTTTGCTCAAATATTTAAATTTTGTTAATTTTCTTTTATTACTTTCTCATATGTGCACATATGTATAGAGTAATAAACTTGTATCTAAATAAGTATATCTATACAAGTATTCTCTTTAGAGAAAGTTATGTAATACTGCGGAAAATCAGTTTAGAGATTTTAACGGAAATAGGCATTTTAGGGTCCCTTAATACTGAAACAGTGTTGTTTCTTTTTCAAAACATCCGCCCTTGGTCAATCTGGCTCGATTCAGAGCAGTACGATAATTATTAAAATTAATTACGATTAAAAAATATTATTTAAATATTGGGGAAATTTTACATGAAGACCCTGTGACATTTTCAAAACTTATTTAAAAATGGCTCCAAAGTTTTCAGGACTGATTTTCACTGTTGTCTCTGAATGACAAAATTGAAGGTTGAGAGTTTTTCTTCAAATGATATTTGTTCCTCATAATTAGTTCTTTCACTGAAGTCGTGTTTTTTTTTGTTTGTTTTTTTTATAGAAAAAAAAAAGGTTAGTGGTTTTTTGCACAATATTGCATAAAAATATTTCAATATTAAAAAACATAATTACACTCAGGGATTGAAATGAAAATAAGACCTGTGTCATTCTTTTAAGCATATTTTTTAAAGCCATTTTTAAACAAATTTTGGAAATGTGGTTTAAGCTTCATGTAAAGTACCATCAAAATCAAAATATGTTTCAAACTCGCAGGTCTTTGAATGGAGTGAATAATTGAATAAATTAGAGAGTGAGTGAGTGGTTGAGTGTATGAGCAAGTGTGTGATAAAAGGGGGCCATTTTTAGTCTGAAGATTTTGCAATTGAAAGAAATATTAATAGCTAGATACTTCCTCTGTTACTTTGTGAACTGGTACTACATTGATAGTAATACCCTCTCTCGCTTTTATGTCTGTCACCAGATCTTTTTCTGCCTCTGTTGTATGTTCGGCCATCTGGAGTCCTACCAATGTAAACCACCAAGTACCGAGCCTTGCGGAACACCACCCGAGATATTATAGGCCTTTACTCAGTTCTCTTTTTCATATAGTTAAGTCCTTTCCTCAAGTGGCTTCTGAACATTAATTATGTAATTCGGAACTCCCAGTTTTTTTAAGCTAGTATGAAACTCCACCTTGCCATATTAAATGTGTTCCTGACGCCGAGAGTAGCAATAGCGCAATACTTCTTTGTTCTTCTTCTCCATCGTTTGCTTTCAATAGCCTTGCGTGCGATGTCGATGACGTTCCTAATTCTGTCTACTTTGGATCTCGCCTTCCTGAAGCCAAATGGGTTATCAGACAGTCCCTGTGGTCCCTCCGTGTAGGCTTCAATCCACTTGCAGATGATCCGCTCTAGCACCTTGCCTGCTGTAACCAGAAAACATACATGCCGATATGCTGATGTGTCGCTAGGAGGCTTATCGACCTTCGGAAGGAGGACCAGCTGTTAATGCTTCCAATGACTGGGAAAATTCTCATCTCGCACGCACGCATTATATGCCCCTAAAAATAGATCTGACCGTGTCCTAACAGCGGTTTTAATAGCAACATTCGGCACCATTCCATCTAAGCCGGGAGCTTTGCAATCTTGAACCTTATCGCAAGCCCTTGACAGTTCGTCTAATGAAACCGATGGACCCTCCTGTAAATCTTCAAGCTGATCCACAAGCTACAAAATATCCCTCTGGTGAGGAAACAAGTTAGCAACTATCGTCTCCCAGAAGACTGGGCAAGTCGGGAGTGCCCAGGACAAAACCTTGAGTCTGGCCGTTACCACCGTATACGGATGACCCCAAGGATCAGCATCCACCTTGTTGCTTAGCTCCCTCCTGCAGCGATCCTTGCTGATCTTACTGGATTTTGTGAAAGCTCTTCTGGCAGTCATGTGCCTCTTCTTGAGAGCGTCATAATTTGGGCGACCCCACCTGTGTTGCGCCAACCTACAAGTACGGTGGTGTTCTCTATGAAGTTCCGCGATATTGTCAGTCCACCAGTACATTGGAAGACGGCGATCTTTCGTGAGGCTTTTCGTCATCTTCGCAAGCGTCAAACGCCCAGTTCATTACGGTTCCAACTGTATCCTCAGTTTCCGGTCAGCATAACATTGCCCTCAATAATAGCAGTGGAAGAATCGCAATCGAACTCTCCTCCTAACCCTTGCAGAACCCAACCTACATTTCTTCCTGACTTCGTATACAATAGTTTGGTGGCCGCTGCATGTACAATATTCGCTAACCTCCCATGCTGTTATCCATCTAGCAAGGATATCACCCGCAAATGTCAAGTCAACTATGGAGTTGTGACCATTCATGGCAAAGGTTGGGTTGTTATCCCTGTTGTAGAGGTAGATATCTAATCAGGCAAGGCTGCTCAGGAGAATCATCCTGCTTTGGTTCGTTAATCTGCTGCCCCACTTAGGGGCCCATGCATTAAAATCCCTAGCAGTAGTAGAGGGTTTTCATTCTCTCACATCATCCAATAATCTATCAAGTACTGCCTTGAACTTCTCGAGCAATGCACTGGTGCGGCATAAACACTATATAACATCTCAATCTAGGTGAATCCATCCCTTGGAATTTGCACAACATCCTGGACTAGACTATTACCACAAATCCACACCTTGGTTAGTCACGTCCGAAACACATTCCAGTACTGCTCGCACAGGATCGTGATGTCTATCTTCAGCTCGCGCACTGTCTGGCTGAGGTCTTTGCTGCCTCGCAATGATTAAAGTTGAGCTGAAGAATGCTCATTATTATTCATCCAACTCTGTTCTGCCTTCTGTAACGCCTCCGAGTGAGATGAACAAATGAGTGAGGGAGGATGAGTGAATAAGAGTGAGTGAGGGTGAGTAAATGAGTTTCCTCGGGGGTGAATGAGTGTGAGAGAGAAAATAAGTGGGTGTGTGAACTGTTTATGAAGCTTAATATTACATGTCTCTGGTATATTGTCCAGATAACTATCAATGTTATAATAATAGTGCTTCCTCTTTTTAAGCTCAGAAATTTGTAACTTGGAGTCACCCTTAATAATTGTACTTGTGTCATCAGAAAAATAAATCAAATCTCCTTTATACAAAGGATTAAAACTGCCATTTATTTATTACATTAATACAAGTCGTCCCAGAATTGAACCTTGGGGCACACCTCATTTCACTGACAACTCCTCACTACATTGACCTGCTATTATACTTAATTCATTTAGTTTTTGATTAATTTGTAAACTCCCTCTGAACCCATAAGATAACATTTTCTTGTAATAGATTTCATGATTTATAGTGTAAAAACCTTTTTTGTTAAGCCTAAAAGGATAGATATCTTCTGGATATTTTGATCTATTAATTTACTAATTTCATTTGAAATGTAACAATAGTGTCTGTAAAACTTTTCATTTCTTGAAACACAAGCTGACAAGCATTAATGTGTTTGTGCATTGAAGTCTGTTTGAGTGTTAATGTTGTATGTGTGTATTGAAAATTGGAAATCGGTGAGATTGGTTTGTAATTTGTGGCATTATCTTCATCACCACATTTGAACGCGGGTATTACATCTTCTTTTTTAAATTGACTAGGAACATTTCCAGCTTCCATAATTAAGTTTAAACAAATAAGTTAATGGTTTAGTTGTATATTTTACACACTTTAATTACTCTTGTGAGAATATCATTGATTCCACATGATTTATTAGTATTTCAAAGGTCTACAATCTTCCCAATTTCATGTTTGTTAGAAGTAGGAAATAAAAATAAAGAATCCACAACATCATTTTCATGTTGAATATCAGTAAAACTACCATTCTTAATTGTACCTGGATAAATGAATTTTAATATATTAATTTATGATACAATTGAGAGGTGATATCATTTTGATTGATATTAATTACATTTAGGATCAATTGTTCAGAAATGATTTGGACAGGCCTTGCTAATCTGATATAAATGACATTTAAAAAACCCACTTATGCTATGATGAACAACCACTAATGGTGTTACTCTTATCATCACTGCAAGAGAAATGCTGACCAACTTTTGAAAGTAATGCAATTGAGCATGTGGGCAAGTGATTTGTTCTTGTTGTGTACCCCATAATCTTACTGAATTACAGAAAAAACAATGAGTGAACTTGTACTGCAAATTGCTACATGTTTATTACCAGAACGTAGAAACATACCTTAGAAAATTGGTGTCTGATGTCTAATATTGGTTCCAGTATGACAGTGGCAATGAATGGAGAGTGAACATTCACTAGCAGCCAACCCATCAAGCAGTTTTGTCTAGGGTTTCTAGTGCATCTCAAAATTCAGCAGAGACGGCCATAAACATTGCAGGCACTCATAGTGTTTCTTCAACATGACAGTGTAAGTTGTCGTATGAATCACAGGACAACAAACAAATCGGCAAGAATGTTGTGAAATATTGTTACCCTACACATTCACTGGATTGCGTCCCATTGCATGGTCAGCAAGTTTTATCTACCAAAGAAATGCAAAACACTGGCCACGACTGGTATTACAGTACTCCAAAGGAATAATTTGCTACAGACATTAGGAAAAAACTGAAAAATGGGAGCTGTTCATGTAGTTTGGAGGAGTATTGAGGATTTGTAGTTATTGCCCAAATCATTTCTGAACACCACAAGTAGCATTGTAATATTTTATTTTTTTATTAAATAATTGTATCAGCATAACAATACATACATCCATAACCAAAGGTATGTTTTGAATCATCAGTTATCATTGTAGCACATACATAGAAACTTATTTTCTAAGAAATACACTTACTTTGTAAGTAAAGTTACATATTTATATTATTGATAATTATTATGAAAGATTCTCATCTTTGGAGTAATGCCTGTTTATAAAAAATAAGTAAATAAGGAAATAAATTGGTTGTGTTTTTTCTGCAGAGCTGTGTCAGGTGTTGGTGATGTACCATACGCAAGATTGGTGGAACACAGTCCTACAGGACTTCTTGCTCCAAAATTGGACAGTGACTCTCGGTTGGATGCAGGGCGCAACACAGGGCTCTGTGCTCCAGCTTCAGATACTCCTCCGAAAAGTAGTGCGTCAGATTCACGCCTTGCCCTTGATTACTTCCAGACTGCTGCTGCACCTGATGGGACTGCAACAGGCTCTGTAAACCATGCAGTGAGTGTATTGAAATTAATTTCCTAATTTATTCTTTTGTTTTGAATTTGCAGTCAAGGGTAATAATTCATTTATTCCTACATTTTTACTTCCTTTGGGGAGAAAATGTTTTTGTAATATATTTATTATAGGCATTTCGTTTGGTTAGAAATTTTTCAATTAATGGGAGATGTTTAAGTAGGGTATTTTAACTAGACATTGGATGTTAAGCCACTAAAAACTTATGTTTTAGGTGCCCAAAAAGCCCTTTTTTTAAATAGGCTCCGAAAAAGGCATTAAAGATGTAAAATTGGAAGGAAAAATCAGGAATGTATTTCACTGCCTTTGGATCTAAAATAAGCTAATACCAAAAAACAATATAACATGAGAAGATAGACTATTAATGAATCATTAGTGAGTGAGAGACTTTGGCATCTTTACAGGATTGAGCTCAGTTACTACACTTATAGGCACTGATTATGTACTTGGCGTGGAGCACAACTCGAACAACTGCGAGCAGAATGAGGACCCACCTCACGCCCAGCAGAGATGGGCTTACACTGTGCATTTTCAGACAGACATCTGGCACAGAACGATATCAATGTTGGAAGTGGGGATCATCACCTTGCCCTCTGAGATACGAGTGTTTTGATTATGTTGCGAGTTGGTGCTCAGCGCTGAAATAAGCGCTCACCGCTCAGCCAAGTGTCCAGAGACCACCGTTTTTTATTTTATTCTATTTGTGCAAAGAAATGCAAAAAAAGAAATCTGAAGCCGCAATGCATGCTTTTCGGTTCCAAAAATTCAGTAACCTGCAAAACCATGTGACACGTTCAGTCGAGACAAACACTTGAGATTTATTACCAGTAGAAACTTTATGTGATTAGTTTAAGTTAAAATGATTTAAACTTGTGTTTGTAACCAAGAACTTTGTGTTGGAAACTACCAAGTACTGAGCTGCATTGTAGTTCATCTTAAACATCATCTTACTTTTGTCAATGCTGTACTTATTTTCTTTGAGGATTGGCAATGTGTAATGATAGTTGTAATGTGAATTGCAGACCATTAAGTGTCCAATAAATATCAGAAATTTTCAAAATGAATCTTAAATTAACATTAGGCATATTATTAAATTTTTCACTGGGTATGTGTAACAAATGAATACAACTAGTTCAACTCTGGTAGTACTTATTGACTGCACCTCCAGTAGGTTTTTAAAAGTGTTATATTATATCTCCTTAATTGTTTGATTGTAAAGGTTGGGGATTCAGGAGGACCATTGACATCTCCTGGAGGTGTAAGAGACTCGCAACAATCATTGGCTGCTACAGTGGCTTCAGGAGCAATTTCAGCCGCTGAAGCTGACGAGTTGCTTCGACAGGAAGTGCAACGTACTATTTCCATGAGTAGTGAAAACCACTCAGAAGCATTCTACTCAGCAGATGAGGATGTGGCCAGTCAACAGGCCAGTCGTGCTTCATCATTACGACACTCGGCCACTTTGGGCCGCCAAGACAGCACTGGGGCTGGTGCTCATTCTCGGTATGTTATGACATACATTAAGTGCAAAAGTTTTAGTGCTTGACTTTTTTTTTCTTTTTAAGAAGGAGATGTATTTTTTCTGTTTCTTTACATTATGTGTTACATTATGACGTGCTTTGCACTGCATTTGTTTATTTTGCCATTTTGTTTTATTTTTTCCTTTCCAAAATTTTGACGTCCTCTCCCCCTGGTTCTTCCTTTCCTGTAAGCTCTGCCAATCCTCTTTTGATTGGGGTTTTCTGGGAGCCATCAGCATTGTGTAATTTTTTCTTAAGTTACTCTTTCTTTGCATAGAAAATATTTTATTTGTGGAAAATTAAGCAAGTGGATATATTCTCATCTTTTCCTTTCTTTTCTTTGTTGTTTTTTAAAGTTATTTATTACTCATTAAATAATTTTTTGTTAGTTATATTATCTTTGAAAGTTTAGTTCTATACAAAATTGTATCTAATGAAGACATGTCATGGGCTTTTATTTTGGAGCAATTTATTAATGAAAAAATAATGGTTGACTGTGCAGAAAGAAATTCAGAAGTGAACTGAGCATTGCAGCAGGTCCTGGCCAACAAGCTGCTACAACTGCTGCCCTTGCAGGTGCATCTGGCTCCACAGGAGAGCCTCGTGCACGACTCAGCTCTCACCGCAGTGACCATGAAATTCACACACCCGAACATCGGCACCAACTGTTAGGCCGTCCTGATGGGGTTTGTATATAATTTGAACCTGGGTTTTGATGGGAATGAATTGAAAAGAAAAGCAACCTTATAATAATTGAACATTTAATTTTTCCAAAAAAGTAATCTATGAAACTTTTTATTTAGTTAAGTGTAAAGTATTTCTCATTTGAATAATTTTATGAACAATAGCTCTGTTTTCATTATAAGTCTTTAAATTGGTTAAATAATTTTATTTTACTTTTTATACTTAATTTTACTTGTTTTTGGTTCCTTCCTCTGTAAGACATACTGTTTACTTTTCTAAAACTCTTGAACACATTGCTAAGCAACCAGGTATCGATTGTACCTATTTTAAATCCTATGTGAAGTTCTTGGGTTTGAGGATTGGCCTATTGTTTTTTATGGACAGGGGGTTGAGGAAGATAAACGCAGTGTAGGAGGTGTGTCTACTCATGGTGCTCCACAATCTACTGCAACTGCCAGCCGATATTACACTTGTGAAATGGGCATGGGGCTTCAGGACTTGGTAGAAGGGCAGGTGAGGCATATTAAACGTGTTAAACGTTTTTTCTTCTGAGAAGTAAGTGAAGTTGTGGAGTTAATTGGATTGAAGTACAAGTTGAGAAGACAATGGTATCATTTCATTGCATTCTTCAGCTGCTGTTGAACTTAAGGAGAATCATGATTTTATTTTTGTAACTGTGATAAGTTCTTCCACCTATTGCATTGTGAAAAGTGCCAACTATTATTTTCTTGCAACATTAATAAGATACTTTTGTTATACCACCTTCTCAAGCCACTGCAACCGTTTATTACTCAACACTTAATTTCAAAAGTCCTTTCCCAGAAAAAAATAACAAGTATTTTATTTTAAGTGGTCTCACTTGGATTCTTTTCAATCTTTGAAATCATGATAAAAAATGCTATTCAGGCAAATACACAGACTACTTTAATGACCTAAAACTCCTTGGGAGCTGATCAGCACCATATATGTTGTTATTTTGATTGGACATAATGTTTTCCTTTGACAAAATGCGTTATTGAAAACCAATTTTGGAAATTTTTTAAATATTCTTTTATCAGATTTTTTCATCTAACATTTGGTTACATTTTTGACGTGAATATAAATCACATAGGTAAGTTGAACATAAATTTTTCAGAATTGTGTCACTGCTTTTTTATCTCAATACTTTTATTGATCAATATTACACTGAAATTGAATCTGTATTGAATTTTCTTTATGTTCTCTATGTATGTCTTATTATCTTAAATGTTTTTATAAACAAATTAATTATTACTTTGATTGCCATTTTTTATTAGTATATTTAAAACTCAAGGCTCCTAGTAGAAATACAAGTTTAAATGATACTTTTGTTACTGATAACTTTGTTTCATCCTATACTTTGAATAATGCATGATATTAAATTCCAAATTGCATTTAATAGATTTAATGTAGAAATTTTGGATGCTGATGAAATGAATTTTGAAAGTATGATGCATAATATTTTGAAAATTAATCGTTTATAAAAAATTCAATCTTTCGTGATATTATAAATGTTACCTATATTTACATTGAGTTGTCATTGCTGCTGCTCCTACTCCTACTGTTACTCCTCGTTTATTTGAGAGAAACCATTTTTGTAAACATTTTTATATTTTGTATTGGACTTACACTTGTCAATTAAATAATATATACAAGTAATCAATCAATCAATTAAGAAATAGTAAATTGTATTTTCAGATGTGAAACAAAAAGTAAATTAGTTGTTATCCATGTTGTCTCCTTTTTCAAAAGAGTTAATAACAATATTTACAAATTTTTCAGGATGGTATTTTGATTGATTCTTCTGACACACATTCCGTCTCCAGCACTAGTTTTATATCAGCAGTATCATCTCAAGAGGATCTCACACTCGTCAATTTACATATGCAAGTCAACAAACCTATTGTGGATTCTCCATTGTTGATGTCGAGTTACATCAGTCATCTATCACAAGTATGTATACATTAAATGAAATAAATTTTCCGTAAAATAACATGAAAAATATAAATGATTGTCTTGTCATTTGGAAATCTCATGTCACATCAATATGTTCCATTAAATTTTCTTATATAACAATTTTTTGCCCATGACAATTTTTTAATTTCTTATTGAACTTGAATGGCAAACTGAATGATGTTTCGTTAGAATGAGTTATTAAAATTCACTCCAGTAAGACATATTGTGTAAGGACTGATTGTTAGAACTTTGTTTATATGAGAAAAATATAATATGGCATTTTTGTTTGATGTATATGACCTCGCTTCACCTTCACCTCCTTCATTATGTAACGGCCACCTCATTCATGGTGTAACGGTCGCCTCATTCATGGTGTAACGGTTAGCGTATCAGACTGTTATACCCAAGTTGGTGAGTTTAAACCCAATTGAAGACCCAATTGATTTTTAAGGGCAAAAAAATCCTTTGTACTCCTTCCTTGGGGAAGTAAAGCCGGCGGTCCCATGTTAGTAGATTTACTTGCATGTAAAAATTCCTCAAGCCTAAATGATTCATCTGAGCTAAATTCAAATTGCCTGTTTCGTGGCCCAAGAAAAATACCTCCTTTCTCTGCTAGTTGGTGAAAGGAGCATAGCGAAATTTGCATGGTCAGACGGAAGAACATGCCTGATGGCCTGAGTCTTGCCACGTTAAATAAGGCATCAGTTCAATTCAATTCAATTCATTAATACACCTAAGCAACTTCTTCTGATAAGGCAAAAAATAAGGTTATGCTCAAGGTTCTTAGATCTTACTTGCCACCATAACTGGAAGCTTTGCTGCCATAACTGGAAAAATATTTAGGATCTCTCAGAATTGAATTTTTAATATCATTACAAAATATTTTTCCCTTCTTACTAGTGTTTTATATTTTTATCCAAGGTAAAAAAATGCACGATAACTGCTATTGGAATTAGGGCATTTTAACTCTTTATGAAACCTCTGTTTATTAAAGATGGTATTCTTAAATTCTACTCTATACCATGAGGGAAATTTAGAACAGCACAGTCCTTTGTTTGAAACGCATGACTCCGCAAAGTAGTGCAGATAAGCATAAAATAACTCAAAAGAATAATCAAGAGAAAAGTGTTCATTATTGATAAGAGATAATAATGACCAAGAGATATTACCAACTGATTATAATCTGCGGAGGAATTATCAAATACCCCATCATCAAAATAAATACCATTATCAAATGATGAAATCTAATATTGAATAGTGAAGGATGATACATATCATTATGAACAATATATTAATTTTACACACCACAGTCAATGTACTAGTGTATGATGTGCATCTTGCATAATAGTCTCAAAAATGGTCCCACATCAACAGGTTGAGGCACCGAAAAGTTTTCCTACATTGAAAGGTTAAGGTTTTATAAATGACATATCCAATGGCGCACCCAAAATGGGTGCACTGAACATGAGGATTCAGCTACCTACCCCATCCCCACCACCCACCTCACCTACTGATGACACATAATCTCAAATATGATGTATACTACTTTTCTGTAGTAGCAGAAGCCTTTCAATATTTCATTTGGATATGTTATAAATAATTATCAATCAAAAGATAAATATACATTTTTAATTCAGCAAAAATGAAAAATTACTTATTAAGAAAATATCAAGTCAGCTGAATCCTACCTGATTGCACCACCGGTCATACTTACAATTCAAATTTCAACTTTTCCAGATGAGTTGTGGTAATTGGAGTCAATCCTCTTTGCCAACTGGTTGTGATGCTTTCACTGTACCTCTCTTCCAAAGAACTGAAGATGGCAAGTTGGTATATATAGGTAAGTTACCAGTGAGCATGTAAGCATCAAAGTGAGCAGTGAGCATCTAAGATATAGCAATGATTCCCTCCTCAAAAGTTGGTGTTCCAAGTGAAAATACAGAAATATTTGGTTGATGGAAATTAGGTCTAGAAGATGTGTAACTGTCTTCTTTCAGGAAGTCGTTATACACCCCGCTTTGAGCTTCAATCTGAGGGCTTCACTTCTTTGAAAATGGTGGGCCGACCCAGTGAAGGTGTTGCCTCCCCACCTCCACCTAGCAGTCGCACTCCAACTCACCCGTATGTGTGGGAAAACAATGAATTGTCAGGAGAGGAAGTAGATGACTGTGAAATTGGTAGGTACTATTAAACCCTATAGTGTTATTTTGTTGTATAGAAATACGTGTTGTGTTCTGTGGCTTTTAAATGCGTTACAGCTCCAACAACAAAAATGCTACACAAAATTATTTTCCAAAAAGAAGCATGCACACTTCTAGAACATCAAATAAAATATAAACATTTCCAGCAAATTAAATATTTTAACAAATCAATCTTCACAAATACTGCTATAAACATAGTATAGAATTTATACATTCACAACAATTGTTTACACATTAAACATAAAAATAGTTGCTGTACCTTATTGCAAAATGTGAATAGCAAATATTTAATGGCAGTTGGTCTCTTCCTGGGAATTTTGTTGTCACATGAAGTCAGCTGAGTTGTTTGCAGTGAGGCTCTGTGTATGAGAATTCGGTTGATAAGCACAGTATGGGAATAGGCAGAAAAACATGATCAAATATTTGGATTTTTTAATCAAAATTGAAACTGTTTCATTCGTTTTTGGGTGTTTCTCATGTTCCTGGATATCTAAAGAAAATATAGGTGTTGTGGTAAGATATCTTTGGCATTTTTAAAATAATTAAAGATGTTGTCATTGCCAACAATATTTTTTTTTTTAAATTCAATAGCAGCTTTCGATGGCTTAGCCATCATCATCAGACAACTGATGATGATGGCTAAGCCATCGAAAGCTGCTATTGAATTAAAAAATATTGTTGGCAATGACAACATCTTTAATTATCTAAAGAAAACTATTGACACCTCTCACATGGTCAAAAGCTGTATTGTTTTCTTTCCATTTCTGCACACATTGTAATGCACACATAAATTAGAAATACAGATTGAGATTGCACACATATGGCAGATGTTTAATGTGCTTAATGCCTTACTTACAATTATTCCTTGCACACATATGGCAGATGCCTAATACCTTCCTTACAATTGTTCCCCAACTCCTTTTAAAACACTCAAATTATCGCTGATCTCCTCAGCAAAGTCAAAATACAGTTACTTCATAAAAATGTATCTTGAAGTGAAGAAAATTATTCGATAACAAATATTTTATCCTTTTTTCTTTGTTATCTGTGGCTTATGTATTAGAATATATAGCTTTGCAATAAATAATTGTTTTGCGGTACATTTTTTGAATTTTTAATTTACTTTAAAAAAGACAAAACAAATGATCAATTTCATAGTGATGAACTCTGAGCCTTTCTGCAGTAGTGCAGCCATTATGTGTGTGATGTGCAAATGGAAAGATCTTATTCTAATAAGATAATTCTAAAATCTATTATTTGAGTTTAGATGTCTAACACTCCTGTCAGAATTATATAACCATGATGTGCTATGTAAATTTGTTCTTCCTCTCATTTTATTCCAAATTATTCATAAGTTCTTTCTTAAATTTGTGTAGGTGTAGAAGAGGAACTTCTTGCATTATCAACTGAAGGAAGTTCACGAACAACTGTCATTCTCAAGTTGAAAGGGGATGTTGATATTATGTTATCTCCACTTGTGCTTGAATCATTGCAGAGGTAAGTCATATTAAAGAGCAAGGCTGACATTGTTATGACTAGAATATTAAATTTAGTAGGTATATATTAAAATCTAATTAATTATGTGTATATTGAAAAGCTTATTATTTGCAGTTTTGCATAGTACCATTGCTTGTTAAGTGAGTAGAAATGTGACTTCTTTGTGTTGGGGCAGGTTCATTGATGCTGTAACTCCAACGTTAGCCAGTTTGCACCCTCTTACTGTATTGAATCACCTGCACGCTGGTTGCATTGACCAGGTAGAAGCTGCTAATGTTCTGAAGCGTGATCATGCATATCTGGCGCAGCTGCAGGCTTCCAGCAAGCGCAGCACAGCAGAACGTGGAACTGCTGCGGTAGGCGCTCCAGCAGCAACATTGCAGTCTAGCGTTTATGAGGAAAGCATTTCTACCCAGACTCAAGGAACTATTGTTTTGCCCAAGGTATTGAAAATGAAACTAATATTAATATTAATGGTGTAAAGTATATAATTATAAAGAGTCTATAATATAAGAATATAATCAGTTAGTTGGCAGATGTAATTTAGTAGACACATGTACAATAAATATGAATAGAATAAAGTTATATAATTTTTATTGCTACTAAGTGCTTTTTATATTTGTAGGTGAACATCACTCTGCTACAAGCTTCAGTTGTTGAAGAAGTAATTTCATTCTCTGCTTTGGACAATATTCGTGATCTCACATGTGTCTCCTTGTTTGCGGTTTGTTTTGAAGGGATTGTAACTCGCTTCCATGTTGGCAAACAAGTAAGTTGATAATATTTTGGTAGAAGTGTGAAAACTACACTGCTTGACAATTCTTAAGGAGCAGTTACATTTATCAGAATAATTCATGATGGACGTTGACTAAAGAAAATAAATTTAGTACATAATAGAGATGTTGTGCATTTATTATACAAAATGATACAGATTTCACAACGTGGAAAAGAAGAAACGGGAGTGGGAAGAAGGGTTTTTTTCACAGTTTGGGGGGAAGAGTTTGAGTAGCTAATCTGCCAAGAACATCATGTCTGCAGGAGTAAGCAGGCCATTGGTTACGTTCAGTATTTGCACATTCATGTGTGTCCGATACTTCAGCAGGGTGGGCATGAAAAAGTTCGGGCCTGCAGTATTTCTAAAAAGATAAATACGATTTAGAATAATCGTTTTGCAATACTGCTGCAATGTATCGCTACCTCAGTTAAAGGATGTGAAGCGCTGTTCTGTCATTGTTCATATCTGCCCACACCATCATGCCTTGGCCATAGAGATCACGTTCATGAACGTTCTGTTGCTAAACATTTCCCTCTCTCTCCGCAATATCTGGTGATCAGAATCACTTGCTACAGTAAAATGTGGACATTCTGGACCACTGTTCCTCACTCCAACCGATGTTTCTTACACCAGTGTAATTTTTCCTGATGATGGCTTGGTTGAAACGGGATGCTTTGACCAGGCTTTGGTGCATACAAACCAACCTGATGTTATCTCTGAGAAATGGTTCCCACGGATATATGTATACTCGTAGCGGTTGCAAGGTCTGCAGCTATTTGACTAGAAGTGAAATTTCTTTTCCTTTTCACCACCAGGGATTTATGTTGATCCTCTTGAGGTGTGGTTTTCCTTCCACAATTACTGCCTCCTTTCGCCTATCATTTCCTCTGTCAGAGACCTTTTTTAATTGTAAGATGACACTTTTTGACACTCCTGTTAATGGGGTCACAGTAGTGATCCTGTAACCTGCTTCCACCTGCTAAACTACGCATTCATTCACAGACATTTTGCATTTAATTATTGTCACACTCCACTGAATTTCACAGAAATAAGTTCAACAACATACGGTGTTATTTTGCACGCTAAACTGAATGAATTTTTGGATGAATAAATTGCCTTTGTGCACTTCCTTTCATACAGGTAACAGCTCTTGCTCTACCACTTTCTTTTGTTTATTTAACTTAAAAAAAGTTAAAAACTGTGACATACTATGGGGAGAGATTTTTTGTAAATGTTTTCTTAAATTTTGAGATCCCTACTCTAACCCACATCCAAGTTGAATTCTGAATACAGAATAATCTGTCCTGTACATTTAATTTGACTGTTATTGGTCAGCTGTTGGGATCATTACTCTGCAAAAATCAAGTTCTGTAGCAATTATCAAGCACTGCAGGAAGGGAGAACCATTGGGTTGTGCAGCATTTAAGAGGTTATAACTGTTTTCAGTTGTCTCTTCGTAATTGTGTATTGAAATTCTCAAAGGTGTATTATCTTCTAGAGCTGAATTGCAAAGATTTCATTACAATCATTTGTCATTCATTCATTTAGCCATTAAGAGTATTTTAAAAAATTTAAGGTTTCCTCTTTAGAACTCATTGTTATATAAATTTAGAGACGTTGAATAAAAATATGATTGGTAGGAAAAAGAGAAAAAACAACATATGTTTGAGTAGTGTATGCGAGTTTTATTGACATGCTCAATGATAATTGAAACTGTAAATGAATTAAATTAGTTTGTAGTGATAGATTACAAATTCCTTTTCAAAATCATTTTGAAATGTATTAATGATTTTTAATTAAATAAACATTCATGAAACGCTTTATTATATACTTAATACTTTTTATGTTCTATTTTTTCTTTTAGGCTCGTGAAGTGGTACAAACATTCCAGCGACCAGCTGTGTTACCAGGCTCCTACAAGAAGGTTAGCAAAATGAGCAAAGCATTTCTGTTGGGTCACCAAGTTACTGCCGTTGGAGGAGATGCTTTAGGAGGTGAACCTGTGTACATCGAGACATCTGAAAAGCAGCAAGAAGAAACAGTTGTTACCCTAGGGATTAGTAAGTTAAATTTTGGCTACATGGGCCTGTGCTACCGTTTTGTGCTCTGTACAGTCAGGCCTTCTCAAAGTCTTTGACCATCCCCGTGACAGAGAACCGAAGAGTTAATCCGCTAAATATGCATTAGAAAGTCCAGAAAGTCTCGTTTTGAAAAGTATCATTTGAGAAGCATAAGTTGCAGATCTCGTGCACTGTTTGGAATCTTACAGTTTTTGACTGTTGGCTGGTACTTAATGCAGAAATGTCAAAGATACACAGCAGCTCATATCTGTTTAGCCATCATTGATTTTGTTTATGAACTATGTGGTTAAATCCAACAGAGTGATTTATATTATAATAAACAATGTACATGTTTCTGGAGTGTTTATATACATTTGCAAAGCTAATTTTTGCATAGAAAGTATTTTTATAAACCAACTTTTGAGTGCTTATTATGGCTCAGCCATTTGGAATATCGAAGAAGCTTATTAGACAAAATATTCTTAAAATTGTGTTAAGAGCTTATTTTTGAAGTTTTGATGCTTCTTCCATGGACACCTTTTGTACAATACCTTAAGATAAAACAGCTTCGACCACTCCACTCACCCTACCTACCTGCTGACTTTGAACACTCCACCCACCAAGCCTACCCTGCTGTCTTTGACCACTCCACCCACCTACCCTGTCCCACTGACTTAGACTGTTGCACCTGCATAACCTGCCCCACCAGCGCTTCCCACTGCACCCCCTTGCCAGTCCCATGGCTCCACCCACTCCATCCACCTAGCCTGTCCTACGGGTTCCACCTATCTACCCTGCCCCACTTGCTCTACTTACTCCTCTCGCTCATTCCATCCGACTTCCCTACCCCATGGGTACCATCTGCCTGACCTGCCCACCTGCTCTACCCTCTCCACCTACCTCACTAGCTCCACTCAAACCACCTGCCTTGATTTCTCCACTCACTCCACCCAATCTCCTCTCCTTATCTACGCTGCCCATTCCACCTGTTATATCTGACCATCTCAATCCACTTTGCCCACTCTACCCCTTCTGGATGCTTCAACCCATCCTCCTACTCCATCTCCTATTGCTTCTATTTCACAGTCCTTCAGCCCTACCTGCCCTGCCTTGCCCTGCCCCGCCCCACCATGCCTTGCCATATTCTTCCCTGCCACGTCCTGTTCAGCTCCGCTTTGCTCCACCCTACCCCACTCTGCCATACCCCTCTTTGCTTGTGTATTTTGAATTACTGAAAGCCTTTATAACAAAATTTACTGTTAAATTTTACCCTGCATTTGTACATTTGTTTCTTTATTAATACTATCTACTTGTATTTTTGTTTTTCTTTTGACTCATCAGTTTTTCAAATATTTCAGGTAAAATCCATGCTCAGCTGCGCCGACTCAAGAATGAGAGCTCTATTCTGAAGGATGCCATAATAACGGCCATACCTGCACATTACTCAAGAGTGCTTTTCACGTGCACACGCGTCTCGTCCCCTGCAAGGGACGTAGACTACTACACACGCTCTGCTGCTCCCGCTCCTCCTGCTCCTCCCCCCATGCCCCCTCCGCCCTTACAGCCAGTGCCTGAATCTGCCTCAGCAGAAGGGGTAAGTGTAGATCCCAACAGGTAGATCGAGATACAAAATATAGTTGTTTGGGAGATTCCTTATTCAAATGCAACACGAAATAGATTTATTGTCATGAATTTATCTTTACGGTATTGCCTTTTAAAATTATTTGTATAAAAAATGTAAGTCTGTCTTAAGTAATAAAATGTGTGTTTTCTAGGTTCAACAACATAGACCTTCACTAACAAATGACCTGAGTGCGGGAAACGAAGATTCTCTTGGATTCATCATGTTTGAATGTGGACTGGAAGGAGTGTCGGTGAAAGTTGTAAAGCGTTCTCTCTTTGACAAAAGTGAAAGTCCTGATGAAACTAAAACAGTTGGTGCTGATGGAGACACTACATATACAGACACTGTTCACTCCAGAGAAGATGCAGAGGCTGCAGATAAACATTTGACAGATAATACAGGTAAAAATTGTTAAGTATAATGTAGAAGCCATCACTAACTTGGTAACATGATAAGTTCTTGTTTACTTGAGTGCTAAGAAAATGACCAGGATTCAAATCTCAAAAGGCTCAAGGATAGCTTTTTCCTTCTTAATCTCCTTTAATGAAATAGTACCTTCTTCGCAATAATACCTTTTCATGTTATCATCACATCTTTTCGGTTGAGCACAAGCTATAACCCATTTCTTTTTGATCCCTTTCACACATCATTGTTCTTTTTTCAAATAATTATGTTTTCACGCTAGCTATAATCCTTCATTGTTCTTTCTTGCATTAATTTATGATAAAATATACAATTACCACTTCTGTACTTATTTACTTAAAATTTAAGACATGGTTTTTCTCAATATATTATGTATCTCAGTAAACAATTTAACAAGTTGAGCCAACTAAAACAGTTAAAAGTGTTTCCTCATCCAAGCAAGACAAATTATTACTTGAATATGGTGACAATCAGGGCATTGTGGGGATGACTGTCCTGCTCAGCAGCTGACACTTGGCTCACTATAGTTCCCTTTGGACAATTTTTTATGGATGCATTTGTTTCATTTCTCTTTAGTTCTTTTGCTTCTCTTTCATTTCCTAATAACTGATTCAGTTTCAGGTAATCAGCCAGGAAGCAAGAGCAAAATAACCGCTGGTCCTCAAACATCAGGAACTGGCGGCCCTGCAACTTCAAACCCTTCTTCTGGAGGGGCAACATTGGCTCCCAATCAGTCCACTGGGAACCCAGGCTCAGCTACTGGAGCTTCTACAACAGCAAGCAACAGCGTGCCTGCACCCAGTGCTACTGGGGGAGGTACTACTGTTGCTGATTCTGCCAGCGGGGCGGCTTCTGGAGGTGCAGGTGCCAGTGCTGGGGAGGCTACTGGGCAAACAGGAGATGAACCCACTGCTGAGACACCCTCTGCCACTGCACCTGTGGCAAATGAGACCAATAGCAATGCATCTTCTTGTGTAATCGAATTTCGTACTATGTGGTTTAATTTTGCTGCTCCTCCACGTGCTCCCATTACAAGGAAAATTGATTTCACCAGGTAAATTGATAGGTTGATTGATTGGTTCCTTCACAACCTTATTTGCAGTCTGAATAGTAAGCACAGGTGCTTACACAGGTCATGAAGAAGCTAAAACACCATAAGATTTCAAACACTGCATCCAAATCATGTACCTCTCTTCACAAAACTGAAGTAGATGTCGGTTGCAATTACAACAATTAAAGATAAGACTATAAACTGCGCAGAAGGTTTTCTTATTGATGATGATATCTTGGTCAGGCCAGGAACTTATGGAAATTAATATATATGAAAGATTTATGTTTGAATATATTTTCAGGATGGTTTCTGCACAGCAAATTCATGCCTGAACCACACTGAAAAATTTATGTTGGATGGTTTTAATAAGCCTAGTATGTCCATCCAAAAGCCATTCTCAAAGATTAATACAATTTTATACTGGCTTATGGTTGTATTTCTCTTAAAAAAAACAGGTCCCTTTAAAATTGTTAGACAGGAGACGTTTTTTATGAGTAGGAATTAAGGAATACATTTACGAGTAGAAATTAAGATGAATTGTATTATTTCATTATATCTGAAGATGAGGGCGCAAAAGCTCTTCAAACATTGTTGATGACTGAAAAACATAGACGTAAGATATCATTTGAATTGTTATAATTAAATAATTAGAAAAAATGTCTGCTGTCTAACAAAATTAAAGGGGCCTTTTTCGTAAGAGACATTCTGAAAGATGTTTTTCCAGAGTTAACTGCATGTTCAGAAAATGAGAGAAATTGAAATTTATTCTAGACATTTAGATAGAACATTCATTTTCTGATTAAAGAAGTATGAAATAGAAGGGATCTTAAATACTTATCAATTGTATACATTAAAATAATATCCCTTTTAAAACACTTAATACCACATTTTTGGAAAATTTGTCAAATGCTTATTAATGAAATCCTGATGTAAACTCATTTCAATATTTTACATTTGAAGTGTTTAAGGAGAAAATACACTTGTAAATAGTGTTGTAGATGTAGAATAAAACATTTAACTAAGCATAGGTTGTGCTTAAAAATAAAATTAGATCTGATCATGAACAATGCACTTACCCTTTTCACATTTGAACTGAGGACAGTCATGTTTATTGTATTCTACTTCCACATAGAGCTGGTTGAAATGACTATACAACAGAAATGCAAATTTAATTCTATTTATTTTCTGAAATACATGAACATTTTTGCTTTAATCAAGTATATTCTTTCATATGTATTTGCATTTCAGATTGGATTGGAACTTGCTTTCAACTGCATCCCCTGCAATAAATGCATGGATGAATCCTAGCAATCGTTTTGCCATTCGTCTTGTGCACATGATTCGAAGTGTATATCGCAGACAAACTGGAATTGTAGCTAGCCTCATGGCAGAAGGTCTGGATGTACAGAGTATTCATGTACCCACAAAGGTACTGTACCCTCATATGTCTTCTTCCTCTGTCTCATATCTGCTCCAAATGTCTTGAGAATTTTTAATCACTGTGGCTGCATTCACATAATTAGTAATTCCAACAATCTGAGTTCTTTTTTTTGCACTCAAATCTGGCAATTTTAAGCTTTTGAAACAGAGGTGTTTGTTGAGGGATATCATTTCAAATTACTGAATATAAGATGAGATTTTTTCACAAATTCTCTGAAAATTAGGGGCCCTTCTTATATTTGCAAATTAAGGCTAGTTGGTTGGGATTTGTTTTTACATGCAAAGTGCCTTTCCATGTAAAGAAACTAATGCTGACGTAACATTGTGCTGCAAAGGTGATGAATTCCATGTAAATATATAATTTATAAAATCTATGTGTAACAAACAAGATGTTTGCACAATTTTGTTAACCAAACTCTTGCTAAGCAACATTTACTACAACAAATATAGTACTTCACTTTGATTTATTCACTTTGAACATGCAAGTAAACAGCATACAAAGGGATGGGATAAGATAAAAAAAGACAAGGGTTCCTTATTCAGTAAATACTTATTTTTTACAGAGTCGTTACGGACGATACACTCCTTTAGCAAAAACATTGCAAGAAGATCCTAGCTGTCAGTTATGCAGTGTGCTTCAAAAGTATGTGCTTCAGACTGACTTAACCACTATTGAAGCAAATCTTTCAGATGCAGATTTACCCATGTTGTCAACATTGCGCCAGGTACATTTCCAACTTTTCTATCAACTACTGCTTAGTTATTTTACAGATTTCCAAATAATGGAATACATTAAATAGGCATGAAAGTTACATGAATTTCCAAGCAGATGACTATTCCTTTCATCAATGTTATTTTTTATTGAAGTATTTCTTATTGATATTAATTTTTTCTAGGGTGTGATAGTGTTGAGCCGACAGTGGAAAAATGTGCTTTACACTCCTCTCTTACTTGAACATAATTACAAAAGTAAGCAACTGAAGCCTCTTAATGTCAGATTTGCCTTACCTACTGACTTCGATGAGGTAAGAGATTACTATTTCTATTACTGGTTTGTAGTCACTTTGCATTATTCAAATATGAATTCCATTTTGACAGCATTGCTTCATTATTAAAAATCATTAACTGTTCTGAATAATATCATTCAATGAAATTTTATTTGCAGTAATTGTATTAATAAATTTGCTTTGTTAAAGGATCCTGCGATGTTTCATGTATCATACTGTAACAATTTCTTTTGCCTTGACACTGATACATTTATAGATGCCTTATTTACACATAAAGTAAAAATTTTAAAAATACCCATTTCTAGTTTACCGTATTATATTTTAATATCACCACTGATCAGATCATGAAGTTACAGCAAATAGTCACTAATCTTTCAAAGAAATCTAATACTGCATGTGAACTAATCAATTGTATTAATTGTAAATCAACCAATGACAGTGGCATGTCAATTATGCATCCTTTTCCAGAAATAATTTCTTTGTACAGTTCAAGGAATATTTTAGTGATGTTTGTGTCAGTCTCACTTTAGTGATATTGTTTGTGCTTATGAGATCAAGAAGAGGAAAAGATGCATATATCATAAATTCCTTCTGACTTACTTTCCATAAAAATACAGTAGTAGTGAAAATTGAGTATATCATCAATTTTATGACAGGATTTCATAGTTGGATTTCATAATACATTTTTTCAGGTTTTGCTTCCTTTTGAGGAAAATAGGTTGTTTAGAAATTGTTTTTCTTTTCAAAATGGTTTTTGGTTTGGGAATTTGTTACTTTAAACTCTTGTTTGGTGAAGTAGCTGATGGTGTTCTCTGGTGTGTTTCTCTGTATGGAGTTGGATTCAAAGGCAAGTGTGACAGTTTTAGTAGAGCTTTGTGATGCCACAGGAAATGCAGCTGGTGAACATCCAGTCAAAGAGACACCAAGCACAGGCTGCTGGACTTCTGGAACACAGTAAGCCCACCATTGCCACTTCCTTGCTGAACCCCCCTCTCCTCTCTGAGCCACAGCATGGGCATCCATGCCTTTGGAGAACTGCCTTGATGTAAAGAGGCGTTTTGCACAGCTATCTTTTATCACTGTGGGTTACACCTTTCTTTGTGGATGATGTAACTGGTACTAACCCCTCGTGAGGAATTAAAATGAACTCTTGGGGACGTTCTAAGCGCATGGGTAGTGTAGGTTTGTTTAAAGTAACAATGAAATGTAGTTCACTGTTTGTCTATTATGTACATTATAAATGCCATAGTGTACTTGTGTTTGGAATTTTATAAATGGAACTTTTTGTGTCTATAAAATCATCACCACTCTTTGTAGCTTAATTATTGTAAATGAGGTTTATTCTCCTTCTGCCTTTCAATCTTGAGGGAGGGATGTAGTGGTGGAATTATGAGCTTACTGTATTTGTAATATTTGTATTTTGGGTTTCTTTGCTCTCTATGGTAGTGAAGGTGTGGTTTATGAATATTCTTTATCTATGGGTGATTTCTTTACTGCATTTCAGGACTTCAGTATGTATGTATGTATGTATGGAGATGTATAGCTGTGTGTTGGGTGTAATTGGAATGTGCAATTGATATTCTATTTTTTTTTTTAGAGGAATTATTTTATCTGTAAATATAGGGGATATTTTTGTACAAGACTAATCACCATTTTCAAAATGTACATTGTTAATTTACCCTCCAATGTCAAATATGTACTTGCCTCATCTCAATCGATTGTACAGATTTGGTACTTCTTCCTCAGTTGGTGTGAAAAATTAAAAGGGCCCAAAAAATTTGATTAATTTCAAACACAACCTTTTGCATAACCTTCTTGCCATTCCAGGATATTTTTTTGCAGTCTTTGTTTCACTATTCACCACTGTACAATGCTTGTCTGTGGTAGAGTGTTTGGATGTCGGGAGGAGTTTTGGTGTGTGTTGTGTTGGTGAGTGTGTGTTGTGGGTTGGTGCAGGAAAACGTGCTGACGGACGGGGAGGGCGAGGGCTCCGGCGAGGAATGCGAAGTGACTGACGAGTGCGCCATGCTGCTCCACACGGAAGGCAGCTCCCACAAGGGCTCGCTGCGCCCCTCGCATGACAAGGGAGGTGAGCACAGGCCTGGTCTTATGTTGTTTGCGTGTAACCCACATGGAGGCAGAAACATTGATTACCATCGTTCAACGTAACCTGCTTTGCTTGATGCTTGTTTGCTTTGATTCCTTTTGAACTCTAGGTTGTAAGATTTTTTTCATGACTTAATTTTTTTTGTATCTATTATGTAAATACTGTGTATTCATTGAATTAAAATAAGTTGAGATAAATATTGCTGTATAAAATGGCTATCAATGTACCAGCCTTCATGATGTGTACTTGAATGTGAGAAAATCCACTTGTATGCCTTGTGTACTTTTCCTATGTGTTGTTTATGTTTGTTTTCTGTGGCTTGTTCTGATTCTATCCTGTGTATTATTGAATGTTATGCATGAGATTGTGTTGCTTGATATTTAGTTATTCCATTTTATATATTGATTTTTATTTTTAATTTGCAATTTTGCTGTAGTAGTCAGTGGCATGATGAAGCACAATTTTTGCACCAAAAATATTGATGAAGGTTACTTTTACAGAACCTTGCACTGCTTCATAGCAGACAATTATTCCACTGAGGTAATGGTGCTATTTTTTGGAACATATGCAATTGTTCATGGTTATTTTATTTCTTTGCTCAACATGAAATTATTTTTGCAAGTTTATGTTTGCAGAGGTTTTTTTTTTGCCAATACATAGACTTGCCTGTTTCATTATTAAGAACTTTCAATTTCTTGTTGTTTATGAGATGCATATTATTTCTTTGCTGCTTTTTGTATTGATGCTTTCATGATGAATGTTTAAGTTAAATTATGATAATGAATGTCAGTTACATTTGATAAGGCTCATATTATTTCAAATAAATTATATGTGCCATAACAAATTGCATTGTGTGCACCCTGTTTAAATCTTATGTTAACTAGAACATGAATATGTTATTTTTATCTGAAATCATACTGACTGTTTCAATGACGTCTTTCTGAATTCTGTTCATAGGATAAAAAAAATTGAGTGTTCAGATTTCTAGAACGTTATGACTTGTTTCACAACTATTTTATCCAAGACTTGGAATTAGCTCTAGTTGGTGAATTTAGGGTATCAGTAATATCTATTGAATTTCAACAGAACCTTCAAGTAGTTTGACCGAAAATGTTTTGATATACGGTGATTATATTGTGTACACCCATAATCCTTGTCGGAAGATAAATTGATCCATTGAGCAAATGCTGAGATGGTGCCTGGCTTTGCTTCAAGACATAAATGTGTCTCCATTTGCTGCACACATTTTCATAAGCTCTGTGGCATGTTAGTTGAGAATTTAGTTGTTTCATGAGCAAAACCATCAAATAATCATTCTCCATGTTCTTGAGGTTGTAAGTCTATCCTTCACATGGGGCATTGTAAGAGGTAAGAGCCAATATCTGTGGGTCATTTGTCATTGCAAATAGTTCCTCTTACCTGGGAGTAATTATTTATTTTTATCCAGTTATGTGTTATATATTTTTATCTAGTTATGACAATAATGCCTATTTCCAGCTTAATCCATAATTCAACTTAAGGTAGTTAAAGAAAGGAGATAGGGATTTCTAATCTGAATAAAATGTTCAGATTCTCCTCCTGTGCCACTAAGTTGTTTTAGACAGAAAGGGGAGGTTGTTTGGAACAAAGGCACTTTAGGGTGTACCCATGCTTCTGTTTTCTCTGGGCACCCCTGCGTATCCGTATCAACGGTATATCATTACAAATTCACTTGCTTTAAACTCTTTTCAAATTTATAAATCTAATTGGGATTAAAACTGCAAATACAGTACAAATGTTTAAGAAATATATTTCAGCTTCTTTTACACCATTAGAGATAAAATTGTCTCTCCAAAAAGTCCTTCTCCATCTCGTCGCCCTTCTCCATCTCGTCATCCTTCTCATAGTCCTCCTTGTCCTTTTCGTCCTCCTCGTTCTTTTATTCTTCTCCTTCTTGACCTCAACCTCCTCTTCCTTCTCACCCTTCACCTCCTCTCCTCCGTCATTCTCCTTCCCCTGGTCTGCATTTTCCTCTCCCTCCTTGACCATCACGACTTCCTAGTCCTTCTCTTTGTCATCCTCATCCTTCTCCTCTTTTTCCTTAGTCTATTTCTTCTCCTTGTTCTTCTTATCTGTGTTCTGCTCCTACTTTTTCTCATTATTCCTGTCCTTGTCAGCCTTCGCCCTCTTCCCCTCTTTTTATCCCTCCTTCATTCTTCTCTTCCTCCTCATCCTCCCCCTTCTCTTCATCCTGCCTCTTTGTCCTCCTTCATTCTTCTCTTCCTCCTCATCCTCACCCTTCTCATCATCTTGCCTCTTTGTCCTCCTCCTCTTCATTACCATCTTTCTCTTTCTCATTCCTCTTTGTCATTCTTCACCTCCCCCTCATCGTCCTCATCTCAGGGGGAGGGGGTGCGTGAGTGGACTGAAAGGCCCTTCTATATACAAAGTAAATTGTACATCGCACCGGGCCGTGAGATTCTCGGGGGGAGGGAGATGGTGCTGGTTAAAGGGGGAGGTGAAGGTTGACAAAATTAAAAGAATTGCATTGCACATACTATTTATTAATGCTAAATTTCTACTCTACGTTGGTGGGATGACATGACAGACAAATGAAATATATTGAGTTAGCCCACCGTCCACAAGGTATGCAATCCATCCGCCATCCATGCGTTAATTTGGGGATGACCCCATCTCAGTCAGGTTGTTTGTCCAGTTTCCCTTGATGCTTTGAGCAAGAGGGCCCCTTACTTTACTTCTGTGTGGTAAATGCCCCTTTCTGCACAAGTTTTTTTGAGTTCTGTTTTGCTAGAGGCACGGAGAAACGGAGGGTTTGTTATTTATCTACAGAGTATACAAATAAAATTGAAGATTGTTTGTCCATGCAGTACTAATACATAAGAGTGAACATGTATCAAATACTAAAATGCTAAGAGAAAGTGTAAGGATTCTGGAATTAAAGATGGTGCGCAATTACACTTCCTCTGTATTCATCATATTTGTCTCGTCGCACACAATTGAAATTGTATACGTGAATCAATAAATATTATTATTATAATTTATTATTATCATCATTATTATTATTATGATTATGATTATGATCATGATGATGATCATGATCATCATTATTGTTATAATAATAATAATAATTATTATTATTTTGTGATAGAAACTTGCCAAGAACATACTTTTACATTGGTGGTTCTTCCTATGCTGGTTTGTTAGTTCTCTTCCTTTTTTCTTTGCTGTAGTTGAAGCATTAAAATTTCAATGTTGGAAATATGGACAATATACCTATCTTGAAACAATGTTTTATAGCTAACTCCTTCTAGATGGCTCAGATTTCTTAAATAATTTTGTGGGGAACTGAGCATACCGTTTTGGTCCTCTCAATGAGCAGTGATACTCAGGAGAGTGCCTACTCAGGACTTCTCAATTTTCAACAGGTGTTTAGATTTGGATATGTCTGTAAAATTAGGTTCACCTGTAACATGAATCCCAATGAAAACAATTTCAACCACTCAGAAGGGAGTGTATTAAATAACTTGTGTGTTTTTGTGCTCCATCTCTCTCAAACAAGCTCAGATTTATTTATTATGAATTACAAAATGTCCATAAAAAAGTTAAACAAGATTGGATATTACTCAGGAAACAACTCTTGGATTACATTGGAAACATGGATATTTACTCAGAAAACAACTCTTGATCAGTTGAGATTTTTATTTGTTTTGCCAATCTCAGCAAAGCAGACAGTCTTAGTTCATAAAACAGAGAAAGTAGTGTACTCATACAAAAAAGTGTGCTTTTAGAGAATAATATGTTTCTGTTTGCGAATGAAGTCCGCTCATAAAGTTTTTTAAGGATATTTTCCAAGATAGGTATAATGCTTTCAGTATCACAGAACTTGGGGATGCTGTAATAATTATTACAATTTCATAGAAGCTATCTTACTATATTCAATTTTCAATTTAGAGAGAGTTTTTTTCTGTATACAAATCAGTCCATTTATCTATAAAAGTTAAGAGTAGCCTAGTAGTAGCTTGACAACTTATTTTCTTTGGTCCTGCAAAGATTTTATCTAAGTCATCTTGCAATTGATTTATTACTATAATAGTTTGACATAATTCTTTTAATTTAAAAATAATATCCTATTTTTAACACATTTATTTATTTTTAATAATTTATGAATTTGATATTCATAAGTTTTAATTCATTGTATTCATCCTTTAATGATAATGATTTATACCTTCACGGAAGCTTATACGCTACCTTAATATACCTTTTGTGAATACCCTATAGTTGATGATACATACCTTCACTATGTTATCTACTTTTTATATTTAACTTGTAATTTTTGGAAGAAAACATTCCCATGAATGTTTAAGTACAAAAAATTTGTGGTTTACTTTTGGGAAAAAAGCGACTGTTGGAAATTAGAGGTACTTATAATTTACTGCTTAAGGTAAAAGCTATCAATTTCATTTAAGGAGAGAATTCTCACAATACATGTTGTAATGTAAACTTACATCAATAAAAAGTGTTATTTCTGATTGGTTCAATCTACTTACCATTGATAGGTACAGTCAACTATTCATAAAATCAGTATGTTGCAAACTGAAAGGAGAAAAGAGAAGAGTGAAATACAGGTAACTTCTAGTGAGAGGTAGCCTAAATAATAACAGTTCCCTGGGCTGACGTGATATAATGGTCATACAGGACCTGGCTTGAAGCCGGATGAGCTGCTGGTGCCGGCACCACCGGTGACTGTGGGCCTGGGGCCTGAGCACACCCCACTGGCTACGCCAGGAATTGTGGTTGGGGGAGTGGACAGCTTATTCAACTCCCCATCGCCCCCTGGGGCTGGCTCAGCTCCCAGTGGAGGGGGCTTGCCAGCACCTACAGTGGCAGCTTCACACTGTAGTGTACATCGACGCCACAAGCGCTCCTTGGCGCCTACTCATCCACCTAGTTCATCACGTGCCAGTATTGTGTTCCCCATCTTGCCTGGCAGCAACCCCTTTGCCAACACCAGCACAAAGAAATTTGACACCGACCAAGGCATTGGTGAGAGGATCTGGCACAGTCTCTTGTCTCGTCTCATGCCATTGATGTACCCTATTTGTTGATTTGTATTGTATTTTGTTTGGTTTGTGATTGAGTAATTACATGTTTGTAGTGATAGAATTGTCATTTTATTTTAATTACACAAAAATTAGTTTTTGTTCAAATTACTTCCTTTTTTATCTCAGTTTATAGAGGTTATAAGTTTGTAGAATTTTCCTTATGTATGATATACTTCCATCAGACATTTTATGTTTCTAAATTCTTACCTTGCCTATGTCTTTAAAACATTTCAGTTATGCACAAACTTCGAATTTCTTTTTATTTCTGTTTTGTACCAGTCATATTTTCACCAGTATTTACTTCTAAAACACATGTCCTTCATCAAGCCAACTGACTATTGCAAGTGTTGAAAATTATGTAATGTATTTAACAGTGTTTTTCAGTATTTAACTCTTCTGAAAGTTTAATATTGATCTGAATGTGTAAAATTTAGGGATTTGTAAGAACTTGTAATTTTTTTACTTAAGTGATATTGATTTTGGATCCCTGCATCAATATTTTGGGTTTGTATCAGAACATAGAATAGTTGCAAACAAGCCTAAGTGCCTAAAGAACACTTGGCTGAAGATAACAATTTTTTTGAAATCTGAATCTATTGACAAAATATTTATACTTGGTATTTTTGGTAAAGCCTCTTACTTGCAATCTTAGGATGTTATTTCTGTAGGTTATGGACCACTTCGAGAGGAGCGAACTGCACCCCCCCATGCTATGGGGTCAAACCCCAGTCTGTATTCTGGTGCACATGGGAGCCATCATTCAGCTGGGAGTTTGGATAACAACCTCTCTCCTAGTGGGGCTACTGGCCATGCCAGTGAGGATCTGTATAGTTGGATGGCAAAACAGCAAGATTTTACTCATCATGCATTACGTCGTGATCATTGGGTAAGAAAAAAATAATATAATAACCAAGATAGGGACCTTTTTGTTGTATATGATTATAAGCAAATTTTAAAAAACACCACTCCAGACTCTTCTTTAATATACAAATCCGTACCACATACTGGAACACACAGAAATTACACATTGTGACGTCGTACCCCACTTGGGAAGCTATTTGTAACAACGTGTTCTTTATATATGTACTTGTTTATATAATAGGAATATTTCTACCTTATGGCTTGCTGGAAAAATGAAATTTGGGTGGGAAAAAAAAAAAAAAAAAAAAAAAAACACCCTTTCAAATTCAAGTCTATGAGCATTTACTTAATAAAATTTGTAACACTATTGATTTGTATTTGAGTTTCTCAGTAATTCTTACCCTTTTATTTCAAACCGTATTCTGTTCTGAATCTTTCTCTATACCAAAACTGGATTATTAAAATTTTTGTTTAATCAATATCATTTGATCACTTAAAAGTCAAATTGCATAGGTTTGTTGATCTTTAGAAACACATTATTCTAAGCAAAGAATAAAGCACAACATGTTCAAAAATAAAACAACAATAATAGAATTTCCTTCTATTATTTTAAAAATTCTATCGTACTATTACAAAATCCAATACTTCCAGAAACCTTGTGTACATTATGACTTTTCACCCTGTCACCTTCTTTACCAATCTTAAACTTATCTTTTTCTATTTTTAGATCCTAGAAATTCTTGCAGCTCTTTCAATTCATATGGATTTAAATCTGTTATCATTAATTCACTCTTATTTTGCTTTATCAGGTTTCAGGTAAAAACAATGTTTTTAATTAAAAGAACATGAATTTCAAAGCAACCCATGCACATTATTTTACTAATATTTAATGAATCTCTTGATGGGCTTTGAAAGAATGGACCATTTCTTCCAAACCAAAAAAGATCATTTCAATTGTATGATTTATAAGAGGGCATTTCTATGTATGTTTACATGTAATTTGCATGAATGTCCTATTCAGTTTCACAGTGTAATTTTTTTGTAAAGAGAAATATCAAAAATATGTAGCCGTAATGTCTAGACTTTTGTACTGCCAATCTGTCAGTACTGAGTGCAGCTGAAACAGACTTGAACACCAATTACATATAAAAACAAATAAAAGTGCACTTTTTGCACAGTGAAAAAATGGAAAAAAAAAAAATTGCTGTGACTATTAAGTAAAAAAAAGCAAGACAGGAGGACGACTGGTATGAAGGTGCAGACAGGAAAACTTAATGCCAGATGCGTAATGGAATTAGACATTTTAATGAGGACAATGAGATTGATGAGACTTTTTTACAAAAATACTTTTGTGATAAAGTACCAGAATATTTCAACTTGGCTTTGAAACATTACTTTTTACTTTTACATTGATACTTTTTTTAACATTAAGACAGTGATGCTTAAATATTTAGAAAATAAATAAAGTTAGAAATGCAGTAAGTAAATTCATAAAATTTTGTGTGCAGGAGTCCAAGTTGAATACTTTAACAACTGAGGACACACTGGAAGAGCCTGAACTTCCGATCCCAGCTGCAGGTGGATGTAGCCTGTACCCCTTGCAAGATTCATTGCGCCTCTTAGATGCCCATTTGATATTTGAGCCTCTACTTTCCAGTCTGGGAGTGGATGTAGGCTCTGTTGGAGGTCCAGCAGGTAACACTTGTGCACTATTTTAGAAAAATATTTTGTTTCCCTTATATATATTTCTCAAGTATCTGTGAAATCTTCTAATTTTAACTTTTATTTATTTATTACTTATCTATTTACTTAACTTCTATGTGCTGAAAATGTTTTTAGGCATTTTATATAGTTTGGTGTGACTATTGGGTCTCAAGAAACTTTAAAATTGAAAGTTCCTTGTGTGTCATTTCAAATTTCATTTTTAAGAGCACATGTTGAACATTTTATAGCTATAACTTTTGTGTTCAAATTGATTGTAGAAGTTAACCAGTAGCCTAGCTATTTATTCATTGCTTAAATATTTTATAATCCTCTTAAACTAAATAAAACATCTTATCAAGTAAGAAAAGTTATTAGATGTACCTATATAATTGCACAACTCCCATATATTAAAAAACATGTTTTGAACAAAATGTCATGTAATCTTTGCAGTAGCAGGCAGCTCGAATATGCCATCTTCATTGGACACTTGGGGCTCCAATCTTTCTTTGGTAGGCAGCATTGATACAATGCGTGTCGATATAGTAGTTAGTGAATATGGCAAAGCATCTGACAAGAAAAAGAAAACTGCTGCAACAAATAAATCTGCCAAACATCCTGGTGAGTGGTTTTAATTGACTTTCTTTATGCATTCAAATAATGAGATTCAGTGGAACCTCATTAGTATCTTTTTCATAATTGTGTTATTAAGTGGGAAAATGATGGGGTGTATCTTAACTTTACTTTAAGAAATAAGAAAAAGAATTACACCTGAATAACACACAAATACAAATTAATTTCATTGCAAATAATGTTCTGAGTAAAAAAGAATTTCATGCAAGTAATACACAAACACTGAAATTAATATCCAATACACGAAGAAAAAAATGTACTCAGCGTATCAAATTTAAAAACATGATAAATTGTGAAGTGTGTAGATAACAATGGCTCAATAAAACGTGTGTTACGATATAGGAAATACAGGAGGTTCTGGAACTGGGAGGTTCCATCTTGATATTCCTCCTGAGACACCAGCTTTTCTGTGTGAAAAAATGGGTGTGGAGTTAGATCTGCGTCAGCAAGGTGACATGACAGTTGATGAACTTGTTCAAAAGCAAAATATATTGTATATTTCACGCGGACAACTTAAGAAGCATTCAAGCACGGTTATAAACGTCAGTCTCAATGTTCGCTACATTTCACAACAGGTTAGTAGCTTCTAAATATGATGCAATTGAAGTCAAGATTAAGTAGACCAATCAAGTAAATTGGTTACTTACTGGAATACAATTTACCTACTTACCTTTTGTGCACTAATGAACAGACCTGTCACATCATGTGGTATTTGTAGTGGATAAAATTCCCATCAGTTTTCATTGATTTAATTTTACCTTCCATTCATTAATTAGTTACAATTTTAATATTTATTATCAAATTTTAATATGTATTGCCAATCACTGAGATGTGTGCACTAGCTACCCTCATTCTGGACATGATTGTGTTGTAGTTTTTATGCCAGGTCTAATTCACCCTCAATAAGAAAAAATAAATCTGTTGTAAACATGAAAATAAGGAAGGAAATTGTGAATAGATTGAATTTCTTGCAGGTTAACATGCCTCTTCTGCGTCTTCTTCACCAAATTTCTAACATGTATCAGAATGTGAAAGACACACAAATGGAACTAAAGGAACAACAACCAGAGGGCAAACAAGATTCAGGACCACTTGACCCTCTTGGTCGGAAAAATAATTCTTCTTCAAGTAGGTTTCTATTTTTTATGATTTTAACTGAGAAGCATTCACTAATATGTTACATAACAGAATAATTGCTGTTTTTTGAGGGGAAGGAAAATTTTAAAACATTGTTATAGATAAATTTTACTTCGAATATTGTAATAATGGTATTGTGCTTCTTAAATATTGTAAAGAACAGTGATTGTAAATTAACATTTGTGGTTCATAACAAAAGTAATTGTACTTGTTTTCTTGAAGTGTCAAATTTTCAGTTTTTTTTGCAGAAAATAAATATACATTTTATTTCTCTCCTTAGAAAATTAATCTTAGTAAGGGGTATTCATTTTAAGAATAAGCCACTGTTTTTTTGTATTATAAATTTTAAAATTACGATTTTTCAGGAAATGTTTCTGATTTTGATAGTTCTAAAAAGAAATTAACATTTTTTATGCAGCAAATAAATGAAACCAGCAATATAATTTAATTGTGACACTCCTGTGACTTAATTGTTCTATCTGAAAACTATTAAATAATGCTTTTGACCTGACATTGAGCATAGAAATACATATGATTTTTGTGAGCAAATCATCTTCTTTGTTCTGTTAACATTTTTGAATCCAGAAAAAACGGATTCCTTTGCATTCTAACACAGTTAATCTTAGCGTACTCACCTTAAAACAAGATCCTCATATATTCCCAGAAACAACTTCCATATAGATATCTTTTAGGATCTATCATCCATTGAAGGATTGTTGTTGTCATTGTTATTTTATTTATTTAATTCTCTCTTTTCTTCCCCGTCTTGTATTTTCTTAATGAGATTTTTTTAGACCCTTTGGACTTTATAAAATTATTTGTTGATGCCTAAAACCAAATATAACACGTGATATGTTTCGATATGGGAACCCTAGGATTTTTTATGTATAATGTATAACACTGAATCACTGAATGGGCATCTTGGTTCATGAGTATTAATATTTGTAGCTTCAGATTTACAAGAGCATGTGGCAGTGAAGACCGTTGGTCCTTCTGGAGAGATAGGTGCAGGATTGCTGCGACCTCACAAACACGTGTCACCATCAGCATCTTTGCGGTCACGGCCTCAAAGTTTCGCTCAGAAACTGCGATCAACTAGTAAGAGTGTTAAAGGTAAGTATTGATTTATGTATTGGAGTGAGGAATAGAAATAGATACCAATTTCTGGAGAACATAACTAGTACATTTTTCAATATAATTTGCTTAATTAATGCTAAAGGTTATAAGTGTCTTGAGAAATAATGTTCTTAAATGGACTGCTTTTTTAAGAGATTGGATTTGTGTGATTTAAAAAGATTCTTTTTAAATTGAAGGGCCTGAATCATCTTATTTAAATAAACCTTTAAATATTGATTCCCAAATTACCATACATTTTATTGGTTGTATAACTTGTAATTATCTATTTGGTTTATAATATGTGGTATATTTGTTACATTAAAAAGGTCTGTAGAACTCATGACAAACATATTTTATTTTAGGCTACATGAATCTTAGTGAAGGAGTTACAACTCCAATGTTTGCTGTGAGTCCTTCAGGTTCTGGATTAGAACATGTTACTCTGTCTACTGAGAAAGCAAAGGAAATTCCAGGAAATACTCCAAGATGTTGGAAGACTGTGTATTATCTGTTGGAATTGTATGCCAGTATGCCTGAGACAAAAACAATTCCTCACAGGTATATTTGCGGGTATGCCATGTCCTTACATCCTCTAACTGTGTTCCAAAGCATGGTAACCAACCATGAAAGAATTGTGTTCCTAATCATGATGCATAGTATATTAAACATTTACATTTTATTATAGATTTTCAGTAGCACCAGATGTATCTGAGGGTTACAAGGGAAGTCGCAAGTATGATGTGTTGTCTGAAGGTAAAGCAAGTGATGATTTGGAGAGAGGACCAGATCCAGTACGATCCACCCCTGTACCACAGGAGAGACTTCGAGATTTAGGTATGTTGCTCTGTACTTGTTTGAAAATGTAATGCACATGAATACCTCTTTATTGTGTTCCATAAATAATTGAAGTACTAGGAATAAGATTTGTTTCTTCATTTTTTTTATTACTTGGAATTTAGAGTCAGAAAACATGAACAATCTTACCTTGAACATACATTGCACTCATCATTTAATATTTCTTCTCCTAGGAGTGGTGTCAGGAGAGAGGACACGTCTTGTGGTGTTTGGTGTAGCTCGCATCCATCGAACACGGCTTTTGGCTACATTGAGTGGACTGAAGTTAGAAGCTGAGATTACAAGTTTACATTCCAGTTTAACATGCCGCAAAAAGTCTCGGCCAGCAAGTCTTGAATGTTCCCTCACTGGTCAGGTTGGTCGTACCATGATTGTTCTTCTGGAAGGTGTAGCTCCAAATCAACAGTAAGTAATGGGTTTCAATATGTGTAATGTAGTTTGTATAACTTCTTGAATCTAATTACTGTTTATTTTTAGGACCGTGGTTCGAGTGACAGTTGGCAAATCACAGGCTTTGTACTCTAGTATCACACGTCGTTCGAAAGATCGCAATTCAGGCTTATTAACTGTTGGTGCTGTTAATGTGGATATCCCCCAACACCCTGTGGCATTACATGGTATGATGACTCGAGGAAGCAAACAATTGTCATCTACTCTACAGGTATTTAATCAATATAATTTGCTGTATATTTTATTTAGAGAAATGTTTGGTGATTTAATCTTACATTTCCCTATTTAGGAATTACGTGTAACTCGTACTGCTAGTCGTTTAAGTCGAGGTGCAACTGTGGATGAGACTGACCTTGGAACTCATCATTCTCCCCGCCATGTTATGACTGCTTCACATCCGGCAGCAGGTTCATCTCGACAGCGCCCAGAATCATCTCTTCTACAGCCTTTAGTCATGCAATTTTCCATTGTGCTCCAGGTGAAGTCTATGAATTAATAAATATTAACATTAGTCATGTACAAGTTCAATTCTTATTCATTCAGTTTATACCTCTTAGTAGTAAGGAATGTTGATTTTTGGTTATTGTTGCTTCTGACAGAGTTTAAGTATTACTGCTGCACTCCTTCCCTCTTTGCAAGCACAATATAAGATGGACCAGGTGAATAGCACTGGTGTGACTGGAAGCAAAGCAAAGTTTACAGTTGACTTGCCAAGACATTCTTTGTCTTTTACTACTAAATTGCAAGTGACGGAAGCCAACTTGCCTTCTGAAGCAAGCATTGAACTTCCCAAAGTTCATGTGTCTGCTGAATATGTTCAGGATGGTAGTAATCCTCGAGAAACACAGTATGCAGGTATAGTATACAAATTACGGCTTGTAGATCTTAGATTGATATTACAGTAAACTCTAACACAAATTCATAGGAACCAAAATAATTGGTGTCCGTCCATATTATTCGCATATTATAAAAATCAGTATTTCTGAATTTTCTTGCTGAGACTCATGTTTTGTTAGTGTTATGGTGAATTTGGTCTTAAGCAAGTTTGTGCTTATGAGAATATATTGTATCAGCTTGAAACAGCTTATGATGAAATGTCTTACCATGTTTTTCAAGAGACTGAAAATTTTGAATGTTGAAAGCAGAAAAACTTATCAAAAAATGTCAATTTGTCATTTGTGAATTGTTACAAGCGACATATTCTAAGTTGAGGGCTTAATTTTGAAGAACACTCTTTCCTTAGAAAAATAATGGGAGATGCAGTTAATATACATTTCAGAAAATAAAGAAAAATATAGGTATTGCAACAAAAATATGACTTCCTCTCAATTCACGGGCCCGACTCTTAACACCACTCCATGTTTGCACCGTGTGTAGGCATGCATAGGCACTTTGTGGATACACATTTTATTTCGACTAATACTGCTAATGACAGGTCTAAGCATGTTTCTCGAGTGACTTTGAATGAGTCAGGCGAGCGGCAATGGTGATCCGTGGCCATCGCAACGTAAACAAATCCTTTGAAGCACATTGCTTTAGAGCAAGTCTCATGAGGTACTCAGGTGAGAGAACTCTCAGAGATGCTTACATGCTGGCGGAACTGTAAGTTTTGGAGTTCTTTTCATGGATTAAGGGTGAATATGCAATACAAATATGCAAATTGATATGCCAATGTGTAACTATATGGTATGTGTATAGTGCAAAAATAGCAAAGAAAATGAAATATTTGTAGCCTAAAAACTTGTACAAATAGTGAGACCAGGATTTTTAGTTTACCCAAGAAAAGAATGCATGCGTAAAATACAGTTTTATTATACGAATGAATGATTTACCCATAAGTGGCACGTTAGCCACAAGAAACAGTTTAGTGTGTGTAAAATTATTGAATAAACAAATGTCATTGCGATATTACAGAAAAACTAAAATAATCATGGTTATGATTGATAGATGGCGATGTGTGATGTGATGATGAGATGTATATGATGATGATGAGGTGAGGATGAGATGATGATCATCATTCGGGCGCATCCTGCCTCCCATCATACATATATAGTAGAGGTTGTAGTGAGTTGCTGTCCGGCCCATAATATATCCATCATCATATATTAGTGAGGTTGAAGGGTGTGTGCTTGCCTGTTGTCCAGAGACTTGATTTTGCTATGAATGCGATCTCTTAATTGTGTTCTGTTTCTACTAAGTGGGAGATGGTGTCCAAGTTTCTAAGATGAAAAGTTTTGCTATGTAATACTTTTTATGTGTTTTGTGGTGGTTGTGATTTGTACATTGTGAATTGTGAATTTTCATTTGTCTTTGAATCCAAGATTTGCTTTTTGACCAGTTACGTGGCATGTCACAAGTGTCAGCCATTGTGTAACAGAATGCAGCGAACTAGATTATTTATTCTGTTTTTCAACTTGTGGGTACTTTGTCTATGGAGGAAACTCGGTGGTAATAAAATGCATGATATACGTAAGTTTGAGGAAAAGGAAAGTAAAGGATGAAAAGTTTCCTATAAATAAGTAAGCTAAAAGGCGTTGCCTATTATACTTATTTTTTAAAATCTATCAGCGTTACACTTAAAGATACTGATATTATATACATTAATCAGTAATGATTACTTGAAGAACTAACTTTCCCTTTATTTGGTAATTGACAGTGTAGCTTTAGCTGTTTTTCGTGAAACATAATCTTCTTTTCTATAGGTGAAATGATAATACCTAGAATGTCTAACATGCAAATTTAGTAAAGTAGTTAAAGAGGCTAAAAAGAACGAGATCGATAGTAGACAGGAGGACCAATAAATTCAGAACTGATACATGTGAAGATGATAAGGTGAGTGAAAAACAGATTATATGATATTGAAGGAACAAGAAATATGGTTCAGCAACAATTCTTAACAGATTCTCATAGCAAGGCATTTCTAGTCGATGAACTTTTGTGATTTTATTTTGACTAATAGTAAAAATTAGTTTAAAAGTTTTAAGTCAGTCTTTAAATTAGGGGTGGGCCTATCTTATATTCGAGTGACGATATTGGCCGTAGATACATGTACTTTTGAGTTGATTTATTATGTTGTCCTTGACGATCAGAGAGCATATTAATATTACCCAAGGATCTTCTATTAATTGTATACCAATGCATTTTGTTTGGATTTTGTTACTGGTAATTTAAAATATGGTGATGCCAGGTATATATGCCGGTGAATATGTAATACCTTTGCGATTGTAGAAATTAGTTAAGACAAATTAATGAACGCGATATTTGCTACGATATAGTTAAATGACTATCTTGGATTGATATGTCGTCTTATATAAAAGTTTTAGTTATGTGCATAATATGAGTACTTCTAATTGCAGATGGTAGATTTTGCCGGAGGGAGTTACCTCAGTGACGTACGCTGATATGCTATTATGAACATTTCTTACACAGTATTCTCAACCTCTTGTCTCTGTTAGAAATGTGTTCATTGAGGTAAATTTCTGTCTGAAATTTTTTTACTGTCTTTATGGCACATTAAACTGATAAACTTGTTATAAATGGGAAAAATAGCACCAAAAATATGATTTTGTGTCATGCTAAAATAACATCTTAGAGTAAAATGTTTCACATCAATTAAATATATCACCTTATTGATGTTATTTTGAAAATTTTCTCCTACTTTAATGCTGAATTTATTTAAATATTAAGATATGAATAAAGATTTGTCTAGATTTATTTTTGTTAATTCTAATGAATTGGTTAGATATGTTTCGAGCATTTGGTTTTGTTAGGAAGTGATCGAATGGTTAAAAAGGTATGGTGGTTGAGAAACTGTTCTTTGCTGGATGGAAGGAGGTGAGGAGTCAGCCACTTCATCGCTCAAGCGCATTCTGTTTTCCCCACTGTCATAGATAAGGTATTCGCCTTTTGGTTTTTTCTCAGTTTTATTGCAGAGATGACGTGGGTATTGCATGATTGACTATTTGCAGCTGAATTCAATTGACGAATACACACTAAAATTAGACTGTAGACTAAACGGTTGCTGTTGAGCTGCATGTGGTCTAATCGTGTTCAGATGTGTTGGTGGTGTCTAACCAATCTCATAATACGTTTTTCCGGAAAGGCTCGTAGTGTAATCTTAGCTTGGACCTGCGAAAGAAATGTCTGTTTGGAGAAGCAGACCTGAGTCGAGCGTATGCCATTCTTCAGACTCATTGGTTGTAGGTTGTTATAAGAGGTTTACAATTTTAATGTCAGGTTTAGTTTTAATATTAACATTCAAATATTGAAATTTAATTTAAAAATATAAAATGTCAATACTTTTAATGTGTTCATACTTCTATTAAGTCTATTTTAAATTGTATTTGGGAGTATTATGTACTATTGCTATGGTTGGGATTCATGAGATTTGGTAAAGGTAGTACAATGAGAATTTTTAAAACCAAAAACTTTAAATTCCACCGAAGATAGAAATTAAATGATTGTTTGGAAGGTAGTTATAGACGGATTATGTTTATTTTCTAGAGTGAGAGATAAATGGAATTCTCTAATTAGCTAGTTTTGAGATTTAAAGTTGGATATTGAATTTGTTTATTTGTTTTTTTTAATTTTAGGAAGAATAGCTCCCAAATGTTTAAACTGTTTTTGAGATGTATTTTATAATTTTTATGCTTGTTCGTATGCTGATTTTAGTGTTTTTTCCCAGGATAGATTGCTTTCCAGTGAAATGGGTGAGGAGGAAGAATATAAGTGCGTGTTATAACCTTCGCAGACACTAATTATCCACCTAATGGAGTACAAGCATTCTGGTGTGGTTGATATAAATGCTTTGAGTATGATGGACAGGTCCAAGCCTAAGGAGTGTGACTGCACTCAGCAGGGCTAAGTTTTCATAGTAAAATACTGGATATTTTTTTGTAATTTTAACCATGTAATATTGCTGTTTTTTCAAGTTTCACAATATTTTTCCCGTAGGTACTCCAAACTGTTTGAATTCATTTTACTCTCTGCCTTGATAGTTCTTTGGTGTCTTTGAAAAGACCCACTTATTGCTCAAAGGCTATTTCTTCTAAAAGTTGTCAGTAATTGAAGCGAAATTCTTGTGTGGAGAGGCAGTGAGGTCTGAAAGTGAGGTGAGATTTTCTTTGATTCTCATGATTTGATATTTTTATTTTTTGCGTTTTCCATTGATGATTTATTGTCTAGATAAGTTTATTCACAATTTTTAGCGCCTTTCCTAAATTGATGTACTTTCTTTCATTGCTGTGTAGTTTTGGAAAGTGTTGCAATGACTAGTCGATTGAGTGCTTACATTGGTACAGTCCTTCCCTTAGTTGACTGTAATGATATGGGCTTTATGTCTGCTCTGAATCCCTGTCTTCCAGTAAGTTAAAGTTTAGTTCTGTTGGATGGAAATATTGGTATGTGTGGTTTAATCCGACCCACACAATAAGACAGGGTCAATGACGTTGGGCTTTGGGTCAGAACTTTTACTAGATGTGTAGAGGTTCTTATGAATTTTTGATGGAAGAGATATTAATAAGTGTTGGTGCTTCAGAACATGCAATGTGATAGAGCCACTGTATTACTACGCAAAGTACATACCAGTCATTTTCTGGTAGTGTGTGATTAAACCCACTTTAAACTAAAGTGCTCCAAATGGCTTCCCACTTATGTTATAAGTAGTTCTTTTCATTTGAGCAGGTACTTTTTGTATTGATTCCATTCACTGCAATTATTAGTCTTGTGGACTATATATAACTCATCATATGAGGAAAATCCATAAGAACTTGCTCATGCCCCAGACAATTGGCGAGTAGCCATACACCGCTGTTCAAATGTCCTTGGTAACTACGGCCTTTTCTTGTACTGTATAT